CCAGTACCAAATAGTTTTGATGATTGCTGCTTTATAATACAATTTAAGATCTGGTATGGCTAGGCCACCTTCTCTAACATTTCTTTTTGTTACCTTTGATATTCTGCACCTTTTATTCTTCCAGATGAATTTTGTTATTATTTTTCCTAACTCTATAAAATAATTTTTTGGTAGTTTGATTGGTATGGCACTAAATAAATTAACTTAAAATTGTCATTTTTATTATATTAGCTCGGTCTACCCATGAACAACTGACATTTTCCCAGTTATTTAGATCTGACTTTATTTGTGAAAAATGTTTTGTAATTGTGTTCATATAGTTTGAGTTTTTTTTAGCAGGTAGACTCCCAAGTATTTTGTATTGTCTACAGTAACTTAAAATGGAATTTCTCTTTCTATCTCTTGCCGTTGGGCTTTGTTGGTTATATATAGAAATGATGATGATTTATGGGGGTTTATTTTATAGCCTGCAACTTTGCTAAAGTTGTTTATTATTTCAAGTAGTTTTTTACTTGATTCTGTAAGTATATCATCTGCAAAGAGTGATAGCTTTGCCTCTTCTTTGCCTGTTCTAATTCCTTCAATTTCTTTTTCTTCTCTTATTGCTAAAGCTAACATTTCTAGTACCATATTAAATAACAGTGGTGATAATGGACATCCTTGTTTCACCCCTGATCTTATTGGAAATGCTTCTAGCTTATCCCTATTACATATAATGCTTGCTGATGGTTTTAAGTAGGTGCTGCTTATCATTTTAAGGAAGATTCCATTTAAAGAACTGGTGTTTCTAAGAGTAAGGCAAAATCCAAAAAGTGGGGTGAGGGAAGGGGGGCGGGCAGCAGCTTGTGGCAAGATCTACAGCAACAATACAGACACTAGAAGAAGTCATCCAAAATAGATTCCTTGGAAGTTTTAATACCATGAATATCAGAGATAATGAAGAAGGAATAAATAAATAGAAGGGTCGTGAATCAAAGGATAAAAGGCCAAGAGGAGACAAAAAAGGAAGAGAAGTCATAAGGAGGGGAAAAATCCTTTTTACAATTTTACAAAAAGGCACAGAAATGAAAATTTAAAACTATTAAGAAAAAGAAAGGAGATGAAAGGGGAGGTTTACATGATTACATGACAGAAAAAAAGGTGAAAGAAAAATGCACTAACAAGGAAAATGCCTGAAGTAGGGAAAGGGATGACAAAATGAGGGATTTATGGAAATCACATTGCAACAAAAAGTGAGATTCAAAATAAAGTCCTTTTGACTTAACTTGCAGTTGATATGTATTGCAATGGATATGGCAAAGTGCAGAAATGGGTGTGTGTTAGGCAATTGAGACAAGTCATCCCACAAAACTGGCTCATAATTATATGGCCCCTTAAAATTTGCAAAGTATTTTCTTACTTATTTTTTGATGTAAATATGTGAATGGGAAAATGTGATGACAAATGGAAATATAGATTTGAATTTTAAGTCTGAGCACTTTGGTTTGAATCCTAACTCAGTTCCTTAGGACCTGCCTGTAGGACATGAACACAACACTAAAAACCTCCCTGGGTCTTTTCTTATTTGTAAAATTGGGGGTTGGGTTACCTGAACTTTGTCCCTTTCAGTTCTATGTTTTTTGATTCTGTGATTAGAATAACATCAAGTAAACCTGTGGATTAAAAATTGTGAATTTTCTGTAGTCTTAACTTTAAACATAGTAAGTTGGAATGTTCATGTGCCAATAGCTCCACTCCTCTTTCTGTAAGGTAAAAAATATAGTAAAATAGTTAGGATTTTTCTTGTGGTTCAGAGGCCTTTTCTCATCTTCAGTGTACATGATCAATCATCTAGAAGTCTCTATTGTCACTGAATGTGAGTGTAGACTTTCACAGGTTGCTCGCATTTTTACATATTTAATATTCATGTTGCAAATTCGTTAATTTTTTTCTCTAGAATATTTCACTTGTGGTGAAATTGTCATTCAGTAATTCTATTCCCCTTGAAGTCATACAGAATGATGTACATAATTCAGTGTTGAATTTGGACTTAAAGAGTCATAGAATTTCAAGTTGTAAGCAGTCTAACTCTTGTAAGAAAAAGAATCCTTACTATATAGTGCACCTAATGAGTTGTCATCTAGCCTCTGCTTAAAGATATTCAAATAGGGGAACCTCTAAAGACTTTCTCATTCTACTTTTGGCTATCTTGGATTGTTAGGAAGTCTTTCCTGACAGGCCTAAAATTTTCTCTTTACAACTTCCACCCATTGTTTCCAGTTCTTCCCTCTGGGGTCAAACGGTCATATTTTCCACAGGACAACTCTTCCAATACTGAAGACAGCTGTTCTGTCCCTCCTGAGTCTTCTAGGCCCCAGGCTAAACATCACCAGGTTCTTCAGCTAACATTCATGTGTCATGGAATCAAGGTCCTTTACCACCCTGGTTGTTTTACTTTGTAAGTCCTCCAGCTCATCAGTGTGCTTGTTAAACTATGGAACCCTTGATTGAGCACAATACTTCTGGTATAATCTGACTAGGGAGTCTCACCTCTTTACGTCTGGGTGCTATGTTTCAAAATCTAAAATAGAACAATGGTGTTCCTGGTGAGAGGGAGAAGGAAGGGGAAGGGAAGAAGCTGTAGGTAGCAATGAATAGAAAAGCTTCTGCAAAGTTCCTTTGAAGCCCAAGGCCTAGGCCCAGGTTGAGATGCTATTTGTAGTAGCAGACTTTTAGAACTTTGAATGTCAAGAGTGGAATGGTTCTATGTGAATAACAGTATAGCATAGAGATAACCATCATAATGTAACTCTGAGCTTACGTGGATTGGATTATGGGAGTTGACATCAGAAAGATAATTATCTCTTTAGCTTATTGCCCTTGCCTTGAGCTTCTCCAGGAAAATCTAGTATATTCAGGGTATGTGGATAAAAACGTTCTTAACTCCAATCTGTTTTACCCCATTGAAAATGCAGGAGATCTAGAGGACTCAAAAGAGCCCATAAATAGAAAAAGAATCATAATCATGTAAAAAAGCACTCAGTAATCCATCAGCTTCCTCTGGAAAGGGAACTGAATATGGGACTGCCAGTAGGGCTACACCCTGACATTCTGATGAATTCCCACAGGGTAGTACACAGTCCCTTTCAAACCAATGGAAGCCACTCTATAGTTTAGATTTCCTCTGAAAATTAAACATTTTGGGGTGCTCCTGAGCAAACAATTACATTCTCATCACAGGGTCACTGTGTTGTCTGAGGAACTCATTGGCTTTTCTCTCCCAAGTTATGCTGCCTAGGAAATTATATTTACTCCCCCTTTCTTTCCTTAAGGAGTGTTCTGAATCAAGAAATCTTCTCTCTATAGAAGGTCCAATCCCCAGCCTCTTGAAATTGTGATTACCTATGAAGTAACTTGACAGCTCCAAAGTTCATATTGTAAAAGTAATAAACTTATTTTTGCTTAATTAATTTTGTGAATTAATGCTCTAAAGCCAAGGAGAATACTACATTAGAGTTCTTTCAACATTTTTTATTTTTTAGGTTTATAGTAGCTTTCCTCTGCTCTTTAAAAAATTATTTATTAATGCCTTTTATTTTTATATTGATCATTACCAGATACACCTTTCCCCTTTGGGGGGAATGGAAGCAAAACCAATTGACAGAGCATATGCAGCATTCCACACCCAGAGGCCTTCCATCTCTCCAAAGAAAGGAAGACAGTGCATTCCTAATGGTGCATTATACTTAAACAGAATTGAGTTTTATTTTCATCTTTTTTTTCATGTATGTTAACATAGTCATTATGTATATTGTTTTCCTGGTTCTACTTTATTCACTATCAAGTCACATAAGTCTTCTCATATTTTTCTGAATTCTTTGTATTTGTTTTTTCCTATAATACTCCTTTAATTTCATGTGTCATAATTTAACCATTCCCCAATTGATGACACCTCCCTTGATTCTGGTTCTTTGATAGCCTAAAATGTACTGATATGAATGTGAAAAGTACTTAATTTAGTACTTAAATGTGATTTCATCAGTGTTTATATTTCCTTCTACTGTACTCTTAGCTGTAGATAGCCTAAATAATTCATTTGGTGGCTAACTTTTACTAATGAGAAATTTCTTCAAACTTAAGCTAGACTGGTCTTTGAGACAACGATAGGTCACTGGGCCCACATTTGTCACTGAACCCATATATTTGAAGATTTTCCTACTTGTTACAAGGCCTCCACCAGAATTTGCTCCCTTGGCATAACTTCCCGAAATCTACCTCCATTGTATGTTAATACATTGGCAGAGAATTAGTGAATGATTAAGAAAATTTTGGAAATAAATATTTAAATTGGAAAGAGATTTTGTAGCCACTAAATAAATCTAAGATGGCAAATTTAGTATCTAACATACTGATAATAGTCTGAGGTCTTTTGTTTGTTTAATTAGATATTCTGGTTCACGGTGTTATTACTTACTGTTCTCCGTACATGGCATTCAATCTAGTGTCTCCTCTTTGTTTATATAGAGTGCCTCTCATTCCTTGACTACGTTGCTTCCTCACTTTTATCTCTTAGAATCCCTAGCTTTCTTCAAGGTTCAGTTCAGCCTTTGAATATATTTTGCATTTATTTAGCTGTGTACAAGTTTTTTCCTCCAATAGAATATAAGTCTGCTGAAGGCATGAGCTGTTTTGGTTTGATTTTGTGTCCCTGCTGTCTAGCATGTTCATGATTTAATAGAACTTAATAAATGCTTATTTTCAAAGAACTCATTCATCAAAATTATTTCATACTGAAATTTACAGAATACAACTTAAGCTCTGATTTCAGAGGTACTTCGGGATATTCTAATTTCTTGGAATAACTATAAAAGTAGTGATGGCAGATAGTGGGTGTGTGAAAATGCTGGTTAATAGTGTTCTAGAAGATAAACCAGGCTACATTGTAATTTGTATGTAGCATTTTTGTTTTCATGAGAAGGGACTGTTGGCTTATGTGTTTTTTTTTCCTTTTCCTTTTTTAGAATATGGTTTCTAGTTTTCGGGTTTCTGAGCTACAAGTATTGTTAGGCTTTGCTGGTCGTAATAAAAGTGGACGCAAACATGACCTCCTGATGAGGGCTTTGCATTTGCTGAAGAGTGGCTGTAGCCCAGCAGTTCAGATTAAAATCAGAGAACTTTATAGACGGCGTTACCCACGGACAATTGAAGGTCTTTCTGATTTGTCCTCGATAAAACCATCAGTTTTCAATTTGGACAGTAGCTCATCACCTGTGGAACCTGACTTGACTGTTGCTGGAATCCACTCATTGCCTTCTACTTCAGTCACACCTCAGTCTCCTTCCTCTCCTGTTGGTTCAGTGCTTCTCCAAGATACTAAGCCTTCATTTGAGATGCAGCAGCCATCTCCCCCAATTCCTCCAGTCCACCCTGATGTTCAGCTGAAAAGCCTTCCCTTCTATGATGTTCTTGATGTTCTTATCAAACCTACAAGTTTAGGTAAGTGTTATTTCTTTTGGTCAGAAATTAAATAGAATAAACTGTCAGCTGTTCATTAAGTGGGTTGGTGTTCCTGCACAAATGAGTCATTAGTTGCTGTTATATTAAATGATTAATGTGGGATACTTGTAGCTTTTTACCCTAATATTCATTTTATTATGCTGCCATCACATTCTAACCTAAATTTTATTTGTATGTCATATTTTGCCAACCTTTTGCAAAAACCTTTGGTTTTGCTTTTTTTTTTCCTTCCCACCATGATCCAGAAACCCATTCAGTTGTACAGATAAAAATCATATTGAATAAACCATAGGTTAGTTTGGAAGACATTTGTCTAGAATGTGATGGTCAACTTTTTCTAAGTAATACTATTTTTTTAATAGGTATTTGACAAAAAGATGGTTTTTGTTTCTGAAGAGTATTACCTGTTTGTTTTTAAGTTTTTTGGTCTAGCATTGCTGTGGCTGTTGACATTGGCTATAGTTTTGATGTCCCTGCCTTACAGTGATCACCCATAAGGATGACTCAAGAAGAGTATAAGATCAGTTAGGAGGTAGGGTAGGGGAAGGAGCACTCCAGACCTAGAGTGTCCTGAGAAATAAGACAAAAGGTCCAGGGAAAAGATGAATGTGTTCTTGGAATGCCCTTCATTTTCCAATGAGGAGTGATTATGAAAGAAGTGTGAAGGGAAAGGTAGGGGGAGACTTTATGCTTCTTCATGCCTACTGGAAGAGTAGTATTTTCTTTCTTTTTTTTCTTAAAGAGGATAGTTACAAAAGTAAGCATGTTATTTAATAAAATGGCATCACTTAGGATCATAGGATTTTAGACTAAGCCTCATGATTTTACCTTATAGAATTATTAATATAGCCCATTACATATCACTTTTCATAATAAGTGATTGAATAATAATAAATTTTTCACATAAGCATGGATATTTATGACTTGGCCAAAAAATACATACAAACGATAAAGCACCATAAAAGTACATGATATTTGTGGAGAAGGCTTTATAATGGATGTAGGGTTTTTGACCAAGACCTTGAAGGATGACTAGGATTTGGATATGTTTAAGGGAAAGGAGATCACATTTTATATGGAGAAAACAACATGAGTATAGCCCTAGAGACAGAAATGAAAGTGGTATTATCCCCAAGCAATAAGATTGCTCTGACCAGAGAGGAGCATTGAGTTTTTAGCAATTAATAGAAATATCTCTTGACTTATTTTTAAAAGTCAGGATTGTAAATCTTTTTATTCACTTTTGAACTGCTTGAATTTCCTTATATTTCAAAAATTGAATAAGTAAGTCATTCCCCTCTATAAATAGTCATATATTTGTGTGAATTGGCATTTTCAAGATAAACAGGAACAAAAGCTGAATTATTATGGCTTGAGTGCAAAAATGGCATAAGGCTACCACTCTTCCTTGTTGTTTAAAATTTATTAGCAAAAGGAAAAATACATTCTTATTTATAATGTTAGATTCAGGGGGCAGGTAGGTGGCGCAGTGGATAGAGCACCGGCCCTGAAGTCGGGAGGACCTGAGTTCAAATCTGGCCTCAGACCAAACTTGATGCTTACTAGCTGTGTGACCCTGGGCAAGTCACTTAACCCCAATTGCCTTAAAAAAAAAAAGGCAACAGATTCAGAATAAAAGTGATTAGAAGGTAAAGTTTTTAAGAAATTTGTATTTTTGGTACAATTAGTAATAGACACTTAAAATAATTTTGAAAGATTTTACTGTTAGAATTCTGTTGGAAGTTTTGTTTAAATTTTGACTGTTACAAAATCTGAGAACTATTGAAGTAGAAATTAGGTATATAAACTTAAGTATTATATGGTTCCATTAAGTTTTTATTATCTCCCATAGCTTAAGCAATCACCTGTATGAGAATGACTTCTAAATCCCTCTCTCCAGCTTGAACCACCTAGACTCTAAACCTATATACACTACAAAGACAGATTAAAAAAAAATATCACAGTATGGTAAAAGCAAACCAACATGCCAATGAATGCGATATTCTACATCCATAGTCCCACACTTCTCCAAAGAAAAGAACTGTCTTCTAATACTTAGATTTCTTATCTGCTCTTAAAGTTTAATAATAGTCAATTCACTTGCTTTCAACAAATTATTAAAAGTTCTGTAGGATGAACTCTACCTCAAACCTACTTCACTTTATTATTGTTTTTATAAACAGTGCCATCCTTCAACTGGTAACTCATGTGCAAAACCTTGTATTAACATTTGCTCTTAGCTCTCTTAATACCTGAACCAGAAGGAATTGAGAGTACTCTGTGGGTGTGGGTGTGGGTGTTAGCATCTCAGTACCTCAGGGAAGTTTTTTTTTTAAACCTATATTACAATTCTCATTGTAATGTGAAGTTTCTACCAGTGTTTGAACCACAGACAACCATAATGATTGCTTCTGTTCTTATGTAACTTTAAGGTTTTTAAAGTGCCTTTATATGATTATTGCATTTTTCAGTCATCCATAAGTATTATTAAGTTTCTACTCCTAGCATTGTGGTAGGTTTTGGGAAAGGGAGTAAACACTTTGTAATCTAGTATAGGACAAACAGTAATACAGATTAGAATATGTTTCAAGTGCATGGGAAGAATAATGAGTACTTGATTCAGATGACATTGTTGGGAGGGAGGGTGCTGTTGTAAATACATTTCCGGTGATTTTATATAGTATGGCAGTAGACAGAGATTGGGGTATGGGCAGTATGTGAAAATTGTATTCTAAAAGTAGGAGATATTGCATAGGGGCTGGAAAATACAGGATGTGTTTTCGAGGAGGAATACACTGTGGGCTAGATTGTAGTATAGGCAAGGGACGGTAATATAAAATGAAGCTGAAAAGCCAGGATGGAGCTCTTCTTTTGGGCCTTGAAGAAGACTGAAGAGTTTGGACTTATATTTTAGAAGCCTTCAAAGATTTTAATAGGAGGAGAGTGATATCATCAGACTTGTTAATAGGATTATGTTCTATGGTTTGTAGGATGAATTGTAGTATAGTAGCAATAGCTCATCTCAGCCTTAGTATGTTAATGTATTATTCCATAACTAACTGATTTTTAGAGGTTAAGCAAATTATCCTAGGTCATACCGCTAGTAAGTGGTAGAATAGTATAGGTGTACTGAGTCTTTAGTTCATTGTGCTTCTGTACTACAGGAAGGATGCTAATGCCTAGCTTAATAAATGTGTGAGCTATATTTTGAAGATTCTGTGCCAGTAAGTAAATTAGTTTCTGTGCCTTTTCTGTGTGGCTCATTCTGATAGCAGATAACAAAGTGTCGAGGAGAGAATAGTTTCAGTGAGGGTAACAAAAAGAATGATTTAACAGAACAGTAGCCATTATTGGGCTATTAAATCTACCCCATGATTTTGAAAAACATGCAGGTGGTTAGTAAAGAGGAAAATTGTTGAGTTAACTATTGAAGACATTTTTTTAGCTTTTTCCACTGGAGAAAAATATTTGTATGGTGTAATGGATAGAGTAAAAGATTTGGAGACAGGAAGACATAGGTTTGAATTCGGCCTCAGGTACTAGCTGTATGAGCTTGTGCAAGATACTTCACCTTGCTGGCCTCAGTTTCCTTATATGTAAAATTAAGGGATTGGATTCAGTAACCTAAGACCCCTTCTACTTCTAAATCTATGCTTCTGTGACACTATTGTACTACTTTGACTGCAGCTCCAAGGTTAATGGAATAATTTTGAATCTGTTTGCTATAAGGAAATGATATGTTCTTTATTTTAGGTTTTATTGTTGCCTTTTGTGTTACACCATGATCATTGTCCCTTCCTCCCCTTGCACTGAATCCTTCCTTGTAACGAGGAGAAATATTTGGCAAAGTCAGCTGACTGAGATTTTCTCTACCATATTCCAAATCGTAGTGTCTCCCTCTCTATTGAGAGGAGGAAGTTGTCTTATTAAGCTCTCTCCAGGACTGATATTATTACATTAATTCACCAAAATTTCTACAGCTACAAGGAAATATATTGTGGGGGGAAAAAGGGCATCTGTTCAAACTTCTGAGGGTTTCTTTAGAAAGAAAATTTAACCATGATTGTCATTCTTCAAAATTCCTTCTTAATTTTAAGAAGGCAAATATTGTTAATTATATGTTGTGTTTATTTATGGATAACATTTGTTTTAGGTCAAGTTTACCATATAATTGGTGTGCATTATTTAATGTTTTGTATATGGGGGTAGATCTGGACCTGAAATTTCTCTAGGAGAGCTCCTGGATTAGGAAACTCCCTGTACCAAAGCAGATAGGCACCTTCACCAATATGTATTATATGTGTTGAGGTAAAACTTGAACCCAAGTCTCCCAAACACAAATGAGGAAACTGAAGCAGCCTGTAATTGACAGGATTGTAGAGGGAATAATTGAGAAGTCTTTTTTTTTTTTTGCTCAGAGGAGGAGGATAGAAATGTTTGTTTTTTAAAGGAGCAAGGTAATGAATACCACCTGATGATTTAACTCAAGGATCATCTCCCTTAGAGTTCTTTTTTAACCTGTGTTCTGTCTGCGTAAGGGCATTCTTGCCAGTAATGGTATTTAGATCCAGAATTTGGTTCCCTGTATTATTAATATGTGTTCTGTAGAACTTGTTATAAACATATCTTCTTTATTACTTTTAAATACTGTAGGAGTTTATAGTAGTATTCTTGGGATTAAAAAACATTCTTGGTCATATCTTTGCTTGAATGATGCTGAATGCTTGTTTTCAAGAATGTAACTCCCACTTATGTTTTATCTTTGGGAAAATAGGACCTATTTTATGAGTTTCCCACTGTAGAGAAATGTAGAGACTTAAATAGACCTTAAAGGCCATTGATCCAACCGCCTCATTTTACAAAAGAAAGTGAGGTGCAGAGCAGTGAAGTGATTTGTCCAGGGTTATGCAGCTAGTTTTCTGTGGTATTTGAACCTAGGTCTTCTGGCTGAATGATTTGGTAGGATGAGGTTTTGTTCATGATTGCAAAGTACCTATTCCTGATGTCTATTTTACTGCACTTGTGTGTGTTGGGTACAGAAGTAGTCATCATGTGGTGCTCTACCATATAGTTTTCCTTCCCTTGGCCCTTTCATAGGACTAGAGAGAATGGGGATGGGAGTGGGGGTCATGGAGACAAGAGAACATTTATAAGTACCTGCCGTGTGCCAAACCTTGCTGAACACCTCACAGATGTTATCTCATTTGATCCTCACAACGACCTTGGGAGGTAGGGGCTTTTCTTTTTCTTTTTTTTTTCTTTTAAAAGGCAGTTGGGGTTAAGTGATTTGCCCCGGGTCACACAGCTAGTATGTATCAAGTGTTTGGTCTGAGGCTGGAGTTGAACTCGGGTCCACCTGACTTCAGGGCCGGTGCTGTATCCACTGCGCCACCTAGCTGCCCCTAGGTGCTTTTATTGTATTCATTTTACATTTGAAGAACCTGAGACTGAGGAGGTTAAGTGACTTTCCCAAGGGTCACACAGTAAAAGTCAGAGACCAAATTTGAACTCGAGTCTTACTGACTCCAGGCCCAGTGTTTTGTCCACTGTGCTATCTAGCTGCAGAGCAGCATTTTGTTTTTGCAATCTTTGGGCCCTTTGTAGCATCTATATTTAGAATTTTCTCCTTTTATTAGCTGTAATAAAATGCTTCTTTGGAAACAGTTCTTGGAATCCTAAAACAGACTCCAAGTCTTCAGTAATGTCCGTGACTTTATCAAAAAGTATAGCACCTGCGATCAGTTTTTGACTTTTGGCGTTGAAATATAGTTCAGGTCTTGCTGCTGGTTTGTTGTACATTTTAATAACTGCATTAGTGGGATTCAGGGGGGTTTATCTTTCTATTTTTTTTTCCAGCAAAATACAATTGAATATAAGGCACTAGAGAAATCTCCTAATGAATCGAATTCTTATGTATGAGATCATTTGTTTCCCGCCAGCTTTTGTTGTATGATAACATGGCAATTTTCATTAGATGACACTATAGTTAGAGATGAAATATGACTACCTTGAAGGAGTCTGTATTATGGATATTGTAACTCTTTACTTTTCTGTTCTTTTAGGATGAGGAATAATTGAATGCTCAATTTCTTATGAATACCCTTTCAAAGACTTCCACTTTTATTTTCCCACCATAAATTGCATTCATTCCGGCCACTTCTTTATTAGTGTGTTTCAGTAATAAATAATTAAGAATTTTGTAGGTGCTACACTGTCTGGCTGTCATTGGCTTTTATGTTCTCAGAATTTTATTGAAAGGTCGTCTTTCATTGTATTTTTTTCTCTCCAGTTCAGAGCAGTATTCAGAGATTTCAAGAGAAGTTTTTTATTTTTGCATTGACACCTCAACAAGTAAGAGAAATATGCATTTCCAGGTAAGAGGAGGGTTTGAAATATGTTTCAGTGGGTGTGGGGCTCTTTTCTCTTTAGAGATAGTATACTAAAATTCCCTTATTGTTAGCCAAATGAATAGTTTGTATATGTTTGTAAATAAATTTGGAGGTGTTGGTAGACAGAAGAATTTCTTTTTTATGCCCAAGACCCAATAAATGAAGTGCTGTAATTTTGTGTTATTGTTATTATGCCAGTGATTTCAGTGACCTGGAAATAACAATAAAGAGAAAATTTGAGAGATTAACAGAAATTACCTAAAGAATAAGTGGTAAACAAACTTTAAAGTGACTGATCATTACAAAAATAGTAGGTGCTTAAAGTAGAAACAGCTTTTTAAATAGTAAGTAAAATTAAGTGGATATAAAAAGTGAGCAAGGGAAATCTGGAGAATATACTATTATGTTGTTTTTTTAAATTATCAGTGTCACTGATGTTTCGTTATAACAGTCATAGAGATTCACATAGATTGTAGGCTTTTTAGAGACCTAGAATGAGAAAGTGAATTACTCAAGGGTTAAATGACTTTCCTGTGGTTACAAATACAGAATAGTTTCATAGCACAAATATAGAAAAATTTAGTTCTTTACTAGGTAGTAAAATGAATTTTCTAATATTAAAACTTTTTTAAAAATGTTTATAACTAGGAGGGAAAAACAAAAGTTTTTAAAAGGTTTAGTATAGAGGTATGTGTTTAAAAAAAAAAAGAAAGAAAGAAAGAGGGGGCAGCTCGGTGGCACAGTGGATAGAGTACTAGCCCTGAAGTCAGGAGGACCTGAGTTCAAATCTGGCCTCAGACCAAACACTAGAAACTTACTAGCTATGTGACCCTGGGCAAGTCACTTAACCCCAATTGCCTAAAAAAAAAAGTATAGAGGTATGTGTATCTAAGTATTTTTTCCCATCTACTCCAGATGTTTTCAGCATTAATATCACTTCTAAATATTCTCCAAATTCCACAAAGAATTTAATTTTCTATCTGTTGAAGATAGGGGGCTCGATAAAAGCTAATGAAACAGTACCTGTGGCTAGCTTATCTCTTGATGTATTGCATCTGGAGGTGTTATGACAGAATTTGACTCTTTACTAGCTACAAGACATTAAAATTAATTTTCATTATTGGAAAGCCTTTCAATTTCATGGAATAAGGAAAATAGTACATTGGGAGGTCATTTTATCTATCTTACCTATTCATTTTACAGATGAGAACACTGAGGCTTAGGGAGGTTAAGTGATTTAGCATTTTGAGTTTTCCTTGGTAGTTAATATAATCCTGGTATCAGTCTGGTAGTTCATATTGAAGTATTCCCCTTCCTTCTGTGTATCTCCTCCACTCTTCTCATTAGAAAACTCTGTAGTAGATTTTAAATTTTTAACAAAATAAATAAAAAAAGTAATCCAGCATAGATAATTTGTGGAGACCTTATGTATATTTTTACATAAAAAGTTAACAAAGAATATAAACTTTCATATGACATGTCAAATAAGGACTGTTGATATTAACTGATCTGGGTTTTCAGTGGAGGTAGAGATCGCTATGACTCATGACGGATTGGAAAGCTTTCACGGAGGGTATTATTTTACTTGGGCTTTAAAGCAAAATACTATTTAAGCAGAAATAAGGCTGCTTAGTTAGCATCCTTACAAGGTGAAACTGAGTATAGGTTTTGAGCATGTTTTTTTCAAGGATTGTAGACCATTTCTACTGAAACGGACAGTTCATGTAAAGGGGGAATAGTGGGAGAGATTGAGACCATAGTGAAGAGCTCTGAATGCCTGGCCTAATAGGATCAAACCTCCTTGAGGGCCCTGACAGTTTTTGTCTTTGTCTTTGTATTCCTATTCCCATTGCTGATTTAATGCCAAGCTCTAAATAGATGCTTGATTAAGGCTTATTAATTTGAAATTTGGATTTTATTCTTCGTCATTGAAAGTTTCTGAGTAGTGTTTTGGGATAATTATTCTAGCTGTTTCTCCCCTAAAGTCCTATTTCACTGATCCATCTTGGTACAGGTCAGTGCCATACCAGTTTAATGCAAGCTGAACAGCACAGCAGTGGGACTGGGTGTTTGTTATCTGAGAACTTGCTTAATTTGGTGAGGCTTATCCCCAGAGGGTTGTTCACAAGTAATAAAGTATTTTGTCTGCAGCTACTTTTGAAGATTGCTTGCTAAGGCATTTAAGTTTGGTGACAGGATCTCCTACAACAGTAAAATTACTGGTGTATAGGAGTAATCTGACTGTAATGATAAATAAAAGGAAGGAGAAGCTGGAGGCAGGGAATTGTGTAGAGACTATTAAATTAATCAGGGTGATATCTTATTTTTCAAGATAAATGACAAAAAAGCTTAACCCTTAAAAAATCTTTACTTCACATTCCCCAAGTGACTTTCCATTTCATTTACACCAGCCCAACAAAATCTTCATCATTCAAAAGTTTATAATATTTGGGTACTTTCGCTTTTCTTTTTCTTCTTTTTTCTTTTTACATTCTTGCAAGCGATTTCATTTCTGCTTAGCACATCCAAGAGCTAGGACGAGAGCCCTGATAGCAGCTTTGGTTAAAGCTTTGATCTGGGAAAGAGATTCAGGCTAATGGCTAAAAAGAGGTATTTGTATTATCTACAAATTTTATTTGTATCTGTTTATCAGTGGGGCCTCTCCTTGGAGAATCTAGGATTGACATTACTATTTACCTAAAAAAAAAAAAAGGTATACATTTGACATCTTACCAGTCTTTTTACCATAGGGAAATTTTAAAAGGGCAGAAGTAAGATGGTTACTCCAAAGGACACATTTCTGAGCCAACTCCCCTGAATTTCTAAGTTTAATTTTCTCAGATTTGCGGGTTGGCTTCCACAGATGTTTATTTAGCATGACTTGTTTGTGACAAACATCAGTGCCAAGTATAGGTTACTACTAAAATTAGTGTGTTAGACTAGATAAGCTGTAAAAATCTTTCTAACTCTATAACATTCTGTGATTATGTGAAAGGAAACAAACTAGTAGTAGGTACCATACTTGCAGTATTGTAAAGATTTGGGAAGTCAATATTTACTTTACCTAGAGTATGGCTGGTGGGAATTCTCTAAGGGATTCTTTGAGCGTACCAATTCAGTGGTGCAAAAGGATAGGACAGATTAATTTGCAAATCAGCTTGACAGTTTTAGATACTTTGCATATGCAAAATAAGGTGCCTCCCTCCCCAATCTGAAGCTAAGAGAAAGCATTTCTTATTCATAAAAATAAAGCTATTTTTATTGTAAAGTATGACAAAATCAGGGCATAATTTAGAAAACCACTATCCAAGCATAAAAAGAAGTAAGATTTTTTAAAAAAAATTAGCCCTTGGGCCCTGGGCTTTTCCAAAAATCTTGCTTCCTAAGGTTAGCAGGATTTCTTTTTCCCTCTCCTCTTTAATCCAGGTGCACAGTTGTTTCAGGTTCATAATTAAATTTTACTTTAATGTGAGGGAATTTGGGGGTGTAGACTCTACAACTGAGAGAATATCATAAGTGGTACTTCATGTTCCCCAATTTTGTTCAGGTCAAGAACCTAACAATTCCTTCCTAGGCTTTTCCTATCATGATTCTCATTTAGTCTTCAGTTCCTTCCCCTACAGTCTGATCCTTGGGTTTAGGGTGCTTCTGGCTTTTTTTGTATCTTTGATCTCTGCCTAAGCAGTCTTGGTGACTTTATGGGTTGTGTTACAGGCTCTCTAGAGGTCTTGTTACTTAGGACCAGCTATACTAGATCCTCTCATCTTCTGTCTGTTCCCCCTTACATGCTCATATGCCTTTATTTTTCTAGCAGGAACCCTTTAGCTCTTCTCAACTCTTCTCCTCATCATCATAGAACCACCTGACCAAGATAAGGGTCTTTCTTCTTCCAGTCTAATTCACTTTTTCATACTTCTCATTCAGGAATTTATAATCATTTGGTTTTTAAAGGTAATCTTCTCCCTAGGGAACACTTCTAAGACTTCAGTTTGTGACCATTGAATTATATGTAAGATTTAACATGTATATTTTTAACACAGAATCCTTGAGACCCTGGTGTTGGAAGTGTCATAATCCCTTCTTATTCAGTAGAAAATTTTTGCTGCATAAGGGCAAATGGTGAGATTTTCCATAGCCTATATTTTATTTTTGGTAAGTTTTTAAGTGTATTTTAAAATTAATCAACTTTTTATTTATTATATCAGTAGAGCCAAGTATGAGGGGCTTTTATACTTCTAATTAGTAACTCAGTGTTGCAGGATAAGCGGAACAGTTCATTTGCAATACTATTTAAATCTTTCTTTGGTTATACTTGAATACTTATCTCTGTCTAATTGAGAATCTTTACCTTTTTTTTTTTTAAATTGTGGATCCCTTTGGCAGTCTGGTGAAGCCTATGGACCCTTTTCTCAGAATATTATTTTTAAATGCATAACAAAATCTTCATCTTAACAGAGGAAACCAATTATATTGAAATTGTGAATTGGTTTCTGTTGTTGTTGTTTCTAAAGCAATTCATGGCCCCAGTTTAAGAACTCCTTAGTCTAAGAGATATCATCAGTTTCTTCGAACTGTTGTGGCAGGAAGAAAATAAATGACTTCACTTTACAAATTGAAGTAGTTTGGGAGACTTTATTGAAGTCTCTGCTAAAATCTCACCTTTTGCAAGAAACTCTTCTGCCTTCTTAATGTTAGTGCCTTCCATCTGAAATTATTTCCAGTTTTATCTTGTGTATAGCTTGTCTTTACATAGTTCTTTGTGTAGTGTCTCCTTTCCATGTTACATTGTGAGCTCCTTGAAGACTGGAACTTTGTGCCTTTTTTTTTTGGTCCCCAGGGCTTAGCATGGTATGTGGCACACATTAACCAGTTAATAAATACTTCTGGATTTGACTTATATGAATAGAAGTAGAAGTAAAATTCCCTGAGTATTAACTAATAGTTCTCAAAGTTATTATTAATTTTTTTTTTACAAATATATATATATATATATATATTTTGGCTAGGCAGTGGGGTTAAGTGACTTACCCAAGGTCACACAGCAGTAAGTATCAAGTGTCTGAGACTGGATTTGAGCTCAGGTCCTCCTGACTTCAGGGCCAGTGCTCTGTCCACCGTACCACCTAGCTGCCATATATAGGGAGTTGATGACAGCTTGGCTTTTTGTCCTAGTTCATTTTCAGTATTTTATGTAACACTTAGTGCTCAGGAGCATATTGCAAGATAAAATTGAAATATGTGACTTGTCTTGCCCTTAGAATTACCGTTGTTGTTGGGAGAACAAGAATTAATACACTACACAAATAAAAAGCTATGCAAACATTGTGTTGTAAGGTCTTGTATGTATGACTTACACTTCAGTGCCTGAGGTATCAAAGTATAAAGAACAATGGTATGAGTGGTCAGGAAAGGAGGATAATCAGTTGTTGCCTCTAGATGAGTATTGAAGAATAGGGAATATTTGGATAATCAGATTGTCATGCATTATTGTTAAGAGTAACAGTTTGAGTAAAAGTATGAAGGTAGGAACAATTATTAGTTGTTGGGGAGTATTAAGAAGGCTCACTTAAATGGATTGGAATACTTAAGATTTCTGAGCAAAAGATTACTTAACATTTTTTCCATGTTGGTAAGGAGGACCCAGTAGAGTGACAGTAGCTGTGGTGATGGCTCAGGAATTCATTCATAGGGGCGGTGATTATCTAGGGCTGCATCAGGCTTCCATCTAGAAACTACATTACTTGGCCACGTAATTTTAATATAAGATGAAGCAACTGACCCATCATCCTTAGGACTTTTGCTTTTGACTTGGATTTTCCAAGAATGGTGATTGATTTGTTTTGATTAATCCACATTGTCATGGTACAATTGTCTATGAACCAACAACACACTTTTTTGATGTTAACAATGCATTATGTGGCTGTAGAGCGAATGGGTATTTCGGAAATGCTAAATAGAAGTTTTTATAAAACAAGGGCTTTCCTTGAATATTGATCACTCTTAAGTGTCCTTGAGTATCCACTGCTGTAATGAAAGTGTCTTTCAAATTTCCAAGTAAGTGAACCTGTCTTGATTATAATGGATTAGATATAGATTATTTGGCTAACGAGGCTGTGAGAGAGAATGAAAATGTCATTGGAGGAATATGCTTTTTGTTAAAAGTTTCTAATATAAGAAATATTCTGTGGAAAAAACCAACTGTACTTCCTTAACCAAGGTTCTTTCTTGCCAACAGGGATTTTTTGCCAGGTGGTAGAAGAGATTACACTGTCCAAGTACAACTAAGGTGATTTTGATATTGTTAAATCAATATTTTTACATTGGCTAAAATATCATTTTGCAAGCCTGTTTTAAATGTTTGGTTACACTTTTAAAGAATGATTTCTCTTTGAATACAGATTGTGCCTAGCAGAGACTAGCTGTCCTCAAGAGGATAATTATCCCAATAGTCTGTGCATAAAAGTAAATGGGAAGCTGTTTCCTTTGCCAGTAAGTTGGAGTATTCAGATTCCTGTTTTGTTTCTTTGTTTCTTAAATTTATATAATCTGTGTTAAAAAAAAAACCACATGTGATTAGCTGGAAAATATGACAACATGGGCAAAAATTATGAAATAGGTTTAAGCAGCATTTCAGTGTGAAAATTTGCTCAGGGTGACCATGAATGAAGTTAATATTCATAGGATCATATGGAATGAAAAAAGCTTTTTTACTATACAAATTTTTCTTTCCAAAGTTTTAATTGCAAATGTAACTACAGGCATTTATTCTTTCTGATTTGTGAAATGTCATCTTGAATTTAATTCAGGTGAACCTCATTGGTAGAAATTAACAGATCATACAAGTATAGATGATGCTTTTTCCTAAAATCAGATTTTTCTAAATCTCAGTAATTAAAATTATTATTTTGGTATATTTGTGTGCCTTTTTCCTTTCAAATAGATTTCTTTATCCCTAGAGATGATCTATATTTCAGTCAGTGTGGCATTTTATTTTTACGCTATTTAGAAATAAATAATAGTATCTTATACTGTCCTACATAATTTATATGTGAATTTTTTCCCCCAGAGTCTTTTATGGGCACATTCTTATCTATGGATGGATAGCCATATGTGACATTTACTTGCAAACATAATAAACCTATTTCTGTGTTAAGTGTTTTTTGCTACCTATAAAATAAATAAAATAATATTGAAAAGTTAGTATTCTTTACCCAAATCAAATATTTATTCATTCATTCAAGAAACATTCATCAAGTCTGTCTGCTGTGATGCAGTATGTATTATGTGAAGCATTGGGAAAGATAAAGTAAATGAAGAAATGATTGTTCTCTTCAAGGAGTTTGTAATCTAGAAGGTTACATAGTTAAATAAAGTACAAACTGGAGTGTGATAAATGCTTAAAAGGAATACAAAATATTCTGAGATCAGATCTAAGGCAGGTAGGTAGGGGAGTTTTCAAGGAAGGCTTGGTATGTGAGCTGAGCTTTGAAGTATTTGTTGAAACTTTTTTACTCTGATCTAGGTTCTCATTTCTTTCTACATTGCTTTTCCATCATCTTCAATGAACATTTTTCTTCCCAGTTATTAGTGGCCAGTCCGTAGGCTTTGATAACTCTTACCTTAAGCCTGTGAAAACTGGTAAATTTCTTCCTCAGGAGGCCTCTTAGGCATTAAGTAAGTCATGGGGTGGGGAACTGGTGGCCTTCTAGGTCCTCAAGTTCGACCCTTTGACTGAATCCCAGCTTCACAGAACAAATCCCCTTAATAAAAAGATGTGTAGAACTTGGACTCAGTAAAAAGGACGCACCCAAGGACCTAGAAGGCCACATGTGGCCTAACCCTTGAGAGCTACTTATGAGTTGCATGCTTGACCAGGAGCTGACTATAGGCTCATCCAACTCAGCATTATTCATTGGTTCCATGTAAAACCACATTAAATAAAATGATAGCATCAGAGGCAGTTATTCCTTTGGGAGTGGAGTTCTTATTGTTAGATATGTGCTGGAGTGGCCCAAATTCATGACTTATTTTTTAGAGACTATAGTCTTCATAGCAGTCAGATCTTCCCTCCTTACCCACTCAAGCACTGTCAGGAAGTCAAGGCAGAGAGGATGACCCATTTAATATATTTTCTTCTGTACTTGAAGCAGACTGGGATTGAGGATTGGTGGGCAATAATTAGAGTGTTGTGCCAGTCTCACAATCATAAAACTTGTGCACAGAGGAAGAGAAGCTAGCTTCTTTCAAACAGTTCTTCTTCCCCTTCACTACCCCTCCCCCTCAAACATGCTGTCTTTTGTTCTTTCAGGGAACATAGGATTCAGAAGTTATGCCCTTGATTTCTCTTTTAAGCAGTAAGCTGCCTGGACTTTTTTTATAAGGTTGTTTCCTGTTTCAGCAACTCAGACAAAGTTATGTTAAGGCCTTGATCTATGAACACATTTTGAAGAGGTTAGCTTGAAGTATTTGGATGAAGTAACACACCTACTAGAAGAAAGAAGGTGTTTTCAATCTGATTATTAGAGGCTAAAACATCTTAGGCTTAGGGCAGAAGGGTATAACAGAAACCCATTATTTCTTCAGAGAGTTAACATTAATGGTGTGTGGCTAAATTTTATGGCTCTACATGAAATTTATATGATAAAACACATCCATTGATATGTTTTTACCTGTTTTTCATTTCATAGCCAGTACTTTAAAGGAAAATTCGGTTCTTTTTCTTTATATACATATAATGAATAGCTGCTCTTTGTGGTTTTTTTTTCAATATCCTCTTTATTTCCTATCATATCTACCTGCCACGTCCTCAACATTAAACCAGTTAATTATTATCTTTGTGACAGGAGCCATGGAAGAACAGAAGTGTATGTTGGAAGAGGGGGAATCTCTAATTTCTCTTCTTTCCTCCACTTATATTTCACTTTGAAAAAGGAATTTATAAATTTTAGCTATTTATTTTTGTTAGCTAATGAGGACCTTCTTGAAGCATACTTTAATAGTTATTTTTTCCCAGAGAATTCAATTTATTTTTCTCATTATTGCAGGGATATGCACCACCTCCCAAAAATGGAATTGAACAGAAACGCCAGGGGCGCCCCTTAAATATTACATCTCTAGTTAGGTTATCTTCTGCTGTGCCAAACCAGATTTCCATTTCATGGGCATCTGAAATTGGAAAGGTAAAATTTTTCTTTCTTTTATCCAGACCTGTGAGTTTATTGGTGTAGGGTAGCAGTTCTCAAACTTTTTGGACTCAGGATCCTTTTTAAAAAACAACAGTAAATCAATTACATGTTAACATAAATAACATTTTTAATGAAAACTGACGATTTCCTCTCTTCCTCACCCCCAATTGTGAGAAGAGTGGCATTGTTTTGCATATTTTTGCAAATCTCTTTAATGTCTGGCTTACTTGAAGATAGCTTGATGCTCCTCTGCTTCTGCGTTTTATCTGTTATAATGTTATTTTGTTTGAAGAATGTGAAGAAAATCTGACTTTACACAGATGAGTAGTTGGAAAGGGGAAAAGTATTTTATATTTTAATAGGTCTATAACATCTCTTAGTATTATTATGAAACTAATTTTGACTTTTAAAGACTCTGTGGGGTCCACTGGCATAGAGGGTTTTGATTTTGGAAACTGTCTACTGATGCAGGTCTACAGCTTACAGTCTTGGCCTAGAGTACTGAGAAGTTACATGATTTTCCCAGGGTCACGTAGCCAGTAAGTGTCTTTAATGAGACTTGAACCAGCTCTTCCTGATTGGTGTTTTCTGATTGAGACTGACTCTTTGTCCTTCCCATGTTGCTGTCTTTGAGAGTCAGTGTGATAGTTATTGAACAGTTAACTAGGTGGTTTCAATTATTTTGTTTTCCTGTACTCAGAGGTAATACTTCTTGAGTGTCTGACTCTGCTTGCTAAGAAGAAATTATGTTCATTTTTGATGGTCCTTAAGTAAAATGGGCTATAATTATGGATTGTACTTAAAAAAACCAAAACAGTCTATAGTAAATTGTAAGCTTTTGCAGGAACTTGTTATATTTTTATGAAAAGTATCAAAGTTTTAAAAAGATAAATTGGCCCTTTGTGGGGAAAACATTGCAAATGTGTTAAGTCACAACTAAAAGGTAATTAGAAATAATTGTTTTTATCACTTCTTTAGACTACTAGGTATCTGGCACATTTAAAACATGACATTAGAGGATATCATTTAGGAGCATGTTTACCCAGTGTCATTCCTTTAAATAGGTAGATGATACTGGCCAGAGGTACTGATTCTTTACTATCCCAGACAGCATTACAATCTTAGCCTCCTTTCCTTGAAGCTGATGCTTAGGATTTAGGATTTTCATAATTGTGTGTGTGTGTGTGTGTGTGTGTGTGTGTGTGTGTGTGTGTGTGTGTGTGAGGTAATTGGGGTTAAATGACTTGCCCAGAGTCACACAGCTACTGGGTGTTATGTGTCTGAGACTGGATTTGAACTCAGGTCCTCCTGACTCCAGGGCGGGTGCTGTATCCACTGTACCTCCTAGCTGGATTTTCATTTTAGAATTGAACTTATAGTGAGATAAGGAGAGTGGGGTTCCCATTTTATAGATGGAGAAATTGTGATACCCTTGTTGAAGAATTTTTTTCCCAGGGATATGACAGTATCAAAGATGACAGTAGTTTTCTACTGTTTTCTATATTTTTATATAGTATTTAATTAGTATACTATTAGAATATCATTATGTATATTCTTAAACTGTACATTCCCTTTGTCCCTTCACTTTCATTTGTAAATTTCTGCTCTTGCTCATTACTAGGATTAATGATAGTAAGATTGTGTCTTTAAGACCGATTGTGAAATTAATCCTTTGAAAGAACCAATCTTATCAAATGGTCAGTTTATTTATTTTTTAAATGTAAATTATTGTGAACTTTTAACGTTCATCAGTCAACAAACATTTCAAGATACAAAGAACAGAGAATATTAAAAAAATTATGTAAATATTATGTAAAAATTTATGTAAAATTTTATGTAAAATATTGTGTAAAAAACTATGAGTTTTAAATGTAGTCAAATTTTTCTTCATTCAGAACTTCAGCATCAAATAAATGAACATTTTTTGTAGCCCTGAATCTGTATGATAAGCAGCTTACTTTTCTCTTTAAGCATATAATAAAATCAGCATATTATTCATGATCAGTTATTTAGTACTTAAGATTTATGCAAAAACAAAAAGCCTCACTGTATAGAACATAACAGTTTTTGGAAAGGCTCATAGTTCTGTAATAGAAATAGGAAAGTATTGCTTAGTCTTTATTATTTAACCTTTGTGACAACTTGTTAATTGTCTTTGTTTTCAAAATTTGACCTTTTGTGATATCAGTGGGTTTTCTTTATGTAATAATGTATGTATATATGTGTGTGTAGATATATGTAATACACACATTATATAGGGTGTCCCCAAGGTCTAAAACTTTTGGGATGCCCTGTATATATGAAAGTTGATTTTTGAAGGAAAAAGAAAGTCTACTGTTTATCATTTATGTGTATTTACTTGTTATCTTTTCACAGTCCTTATGAGTGAGAATTCTCTGTGCAGACCAAATTCTACCAAGTTTTTTTTTGGTGCATAGTTGCTTCTTCCTGTTTTAACCTGTGCTTGGTCTACCACCTCTTCCTTAAAGGGAGGAACTGAGGAGGCCAAGATCAAGATTGGTTAAATGATATGCCCGTGGCCATGTAGCACATGGTCTATGATCAGAATTATAACTTGGTATTCCCAACTTACAATACTGTATACCAGACGTGTCAAACATGTGACCCAGGTATAAATGCAGCCCACAGGACTCCTGAGTTTTGCTTGAACCAGATCAAAATGTAGTTGGGAAATATTTAGCAAAATAAATAAAAATTGATAATAAAACATCAGTAATATTGCATTTTAAAACTAAATCATTATGCAGCCCACAAGGATTATTATATATGGATTAGTGGTCCCAGTTTAGAACATGTTGCCTTTCATAGATATGTTGGCAATTGAATATGAAGTATCTGTGATTGAGATGTCAGTTTCCCTGAAAGAGTTGTTTTCTATTTTCTTTTTTTTCCCCTTTATTTTTTTTTTGCCTGAGTTGTCATGGTTTCATGAAAACTAACTTTGAACATGTAGTTATGAGAATTTTCTTTCTAATCTTTAACTAAGATTATCTTTTTTGTAGAATTACTCCATGTCTGTATATCTTGTTCGACAGCTGACATCAGCCATGTTGTTACAGAGATTAAAAATGAAAGGTATTCGAAACCCTGATCATTCCAGAGCACTAAGTAAGTAATGTATATGAAACTGAATGTATGAAACATTTGTGGGGGAAATTTTTTTGCTGAATCAGTGTGATGGGGTGGGTGGAACGAGGTTTGAATTTAGAGTAAGAAGAACTGGATTGGAATCTTGGCTCTACTACTCACTACTATATGTATGACCCCTATTAAATCTTGGAGCCTTTCTTGGGACTTGATTGCCTCATCTCTAAAATGAGGAGGTTTGACTAGATGGTCTATCATCAGTTCCTTTATAGCTCTCAGTTCTGTGAAGTATAGCCAACGTGAGGCTAGCATTGTGGGAATCCCTCTTCCATAGTAACTTAAGTGGTATAAAATTTATGTTAATGCTGGCTCACTAATATCAGTTCTGATCTGAAGGAAAATTAGGGATTAGCCTTTGGCCTGTGTTGATGAAGGCCTATTGTAATTAGGATTTTGACTCTGTAGATTATTGATCTTTTTAGAATTAACAGTCCTGAAAATAGCAATTTATTTCATACGACTCTCCGATGAATAGCTGACAGGTTGTTTTTTCAAGCAAGAAAATGATTTCCCTATTAAAGTTATATTGACCAGTAAATAAAAATATTTTGCTTCTTGTTATGTAGGAATTCTTAATTTAGCTTTTATGATAGATAGTATTAGGCAGGAATAATTTCATCTCCCATTAGTCGGTATTGCGGGTGACTATAGTATACAAAAATGTGTTTGTTTTTCAAGTAGCTGTTTTAATAGTTCCAATTATTTAAGTTATATATTATTCTTTGGAGGTATTTGGAGATTACTTCTAGCCAGTGTTTATGAATGAAAATTGTTGCAGAGATTAGATTTTTTTTTCTAATGAAGGAGGATTTTTCACCTTCTCTTGATTAGAATTGTGGATTGGACCAGTGTAGGGAAAACGCTCTGTGAGGTGAAAACAGAATCCTCTATCCTACAGTAGAGTGCTGTGAGGTCAACCAGACAGGATGCCGTTCTCTGGTCTTTGCCTCATTGCAGTGTTGACTTTCTTACCCACATCTGAATATGCCTAGTTCTCTAAAGATCAGAACAATTTATTCTCAATTTGTTTCTTCTCTGCCCAGCTGCCTGGGATCCAGCTGTTTTTGGCAGTAATAGAGTAAGTGGAGAATCACTAGGGCTTCAAAGAATTATGAACCTAAGTTGAGTAAAAAGGAACAGTGTTTGTATTTGGCATCCTTGGATATTTTGGGGGAGAATTATGTCATTTAATGAGAATGGTTTCCTTTACCTAACTACACACTGACTTAATAGGTAACTATTTTTATTAAGCTTTTAAAACATTATTTTATTTTCATATCTGTATTCTCTCCTTCCTTCCCACCTCCACCTCAAGTGCCCCCTCTTTTGAGAAATCTAGTAAGCTTTGCATTCTGGTATGGAATTTAACTCAACTTAAAGAATTAGTAAAGGCAGTTTCAAGCATATTTATATAAGAAAAGGATTATTTCCAAAATCTTCTCATTTCTGTTGTGTGTCTCACAGCCTGGACCTGTGCGTCATCTTGAAAGTCTTGTTTTTGAGGGACTTGAATTTTAGCTTATTAAAAAACAAGATGTTTAACAAGCTAATACTGGAGTTGTGACTGACATTAAAAACAACATCACACATCAAGCATTTCTTTTATTTCTGTTTTTACCTTTTGACATTATTTGGAAGTTTCTTTATATAGACTGGAGCAGTCTGTGCCTGGATAACATTGATTTCTGTTTGTGTTTTTCAAGTTAAAGAGAAGCTCACTGCAGATCCTGACAGTGAAATTGCTACAACCAGTCTTCGGGTATCCTTGATGTGTCCTGTAAGTGAAGCCTTTACTTTATGAAGAGATTGCAGGCATATACTGCACCATGAGGTTACAACCGATAACTTTCTTAACATGTAGCTGTTCACTACAGTGACATGTGCTGGATTGGGCTGCTCTGGCTCCTCATTTTGACCAACTTCACTATGTAAACATTTCTAAACATCTCACTCTACTTGGTTCAGTTCTGTTCCTATGAAACTAACTCCTCCCTGTAATGTTGTTTTCTCTGACAGCATTTTTAAACATTTTTATTTTTCAATTAACAAGCATTTATTTTCTCTCTCACCCGCAGTTGGGGGGGGGACGGAGCACTTGCTACCCTATATATATATATGCAAAATCTGCAAAATATATATATGCAAAATCAAGCAAAACAAGTTTCCACATTGTCCCTGTCCAAAAACATATATCTTATTCTGCATCTTAAATCCAACACTCATAGTTGGTCATTACAGCGATCAGAGTTCTTAAGTGTTTCAGAATCTAGCACCATTTTAATGGGATTCCCAGTTTAAAGATGTTAAACATGTTATGTTTACATTGATATGATTTTTATTTGTCATAGATTATAAGGCATCTAATATAAAATAAGAGTATTCTGAAACTTTTGACAAGTTGTTAGTTAAGAAATCTTGTCTTTTGACAGAAATCTAATATTTACTATCAGAGGGGAGTTTGCATAGATTAACTATTATTTAGGAGTGTGTGGCAGATTTGTCTTGTTAATTATTATTTGCTGGGGTTAATAGCCAAATGAATTATTTGAGGATAGCCAAACTGACAGTAGAAGGTAATGACTTAAAAGAATATTGTGGAGGATGGAAAGGGAAACAGGCTGAAATCAGCCTTGAGTTTTAAAAGAATAGTCTGTTAATATATTTTTAATATAAATGTTTATGGCTGGCTTTCATTTTTGTATCACCAAATTTCTCAATGCATCCTTCTCCCTTACTTTGTTCTCCTCCCAGAAGGCTATCCCTTACAACAAAGAATTTTTAAAAAGGGGGGGGGGAGATTTCAGCAAAATTAATCAACAAATGTAAAAAGCTTTGTTTCACATCCATAGTCCTCCATTTCTGTAACCTAAAAAAAAAAAGTTGGGGTAGGTAACATCTGTTTAGAACCAGACTTGGTCATTAAAATTTTATGGTGTTTAGTTTTGTGGCACATTTATTAATATTGTAATAATAAATGACTTTATATAGTACTTTTAGGTTTGCAAAATGCTTTACGTGGCTTATTTTGCCAAGAGCAATTGGTGTATGAATAACAAATTACAGTAAGAAACTACATAACAGTACTGAGAAATGCCAATGTTGAGGTCTTTAGTACCTAATAGTAAATAATGATCATTCAAATCCTACCATGTGCATTGCACAGATTACAGTTGCAGTCCTCAAAGAGCAATTTAAGACAACCTAGGATGGGAGATAAGACCATATATGTACCATAGCTTGACATTTTTTCTTTGCCAACAATTCTGTGTGGTAGATAGTATCAATAATGGCTCCATTTTACAGATGAGAAAAATTCTGAAAGGTCATTAGTAACTTGCTCAGCACACATAGCTAATAGGGGTGAAAGCAGGGTTTTGAATCCATGTTTCTTCTGGCTCCAAGTCTAATAGTCTTTCTACCATATCATGCTTCTTTTAGATAAAACATTGCTGTACCAATCATAAAACATCAGCAGATCAACTTGCATGGTGCAGTAGAGAGAATACTGATCTTGGAGTCTTAAAAGTGAATGTCAGAACAAACGTGTCTTCAGCCATCATTGTATTTAGCTCTGACTCCTTCATTTTTTCTGTTCTTATTTGTAGTAAGAATGTTAATATGGATCTTCTAATAGCCTGTCAATTTATTGATCTTTGGACAGAGTAGTCAGCATTATGGTTATGAGCTTCTTTGCCCTATCACTTAGAATAGAAGTTCTTAGAAACCTAAGGCTCTTGAACTTGTTCTTAACAACTCTTGATTATATTGATATTTCAATCTTCACACTGTCAAAAGTGTTCCGATAATAAAGGTCAAGAATCCTTGATTAGAGCCTTCCAGGGTTAGAGGATCTGTGTTAGCTTGTACCTATGATACTGCCTTTGAGAATCCAGAGTTATTTTTATCCCATAGTGAGGCATCTTTAGTAATTTACGCAATTAGGGATTTGTATTTACAGAACACTAGAGAAAAAAAAATAAAGCTGTTTTGGTGCATTAAATAAGGATAGTAAAGAAGCCAGTAATTTTTTTTTAAAGCTCTGAGCAACTCATACAGTGCTAAATGTGATACCCCTGGTTTCCATGGGTGCCGCTGGAAAGCCTAAAGTGGGGGGGGGTGAGAAGGAAGATGAGATGGAAAAAAGAAGTTGTAGAAGAAAGAGGGGAAGTAAGAAAAATGAAGGGGGAAATATAAAACAGTCCAGAATGGTTCATGGAGATATAGGGTATCTTTAGTTGCCCTTCATTAGTTGCTTACTACTGCATTAAATAGCATGCTAGTAGTCTGTGTAATGTTTACAGTTTTTTGGGTTTCATATAATCTCAAGTATATTTTACCAAATGAGTAGATAATTCTCTTGATTTGCTTATTGTAGTTAAAATTGTATTGCTGTTTATTAGGATGGTAAACTTATCAAATCCTGTTGTATATTGCTTTGCTGAAGCATAAATTTTACTTAACATAATTGGATTTCTCTTATAACCATATTCCTTTTTAAAAAAAATAATTGTTTCTGAAATGCAGTTTCCATTTTGCATTACCCTTTAGCTAGGAAAAATGAGGCTGACGATTCCATGTCGTGCTGTGACATGCACACATCTGCAATGTTTTGATGCTGCTCTTTACCTACAAATGAATGAAAAGAAGCCTACCTGGATTTGTCCTGTGTGTGACAAAAAAGCTGCCTATGAAAGTCTAATACTAGATGGGTAAGTTTAGCCCTGTCCTTTACTTTATTGAAACTTTTCCCTTTTATACAATCTACTTGACTATGGCATAAAAAGCCTAGCAGAAAAAGAGCCTTCTCTTGTGTGTATAATCCAGCTAATTTAAGAATTGATTATATTATATTAAAATTTAAAATATATTTAAAAAACTTTTTTCCTCAGATTTTTTTTGAATTGAAATAAGCTTAATTTATTTCTTTTAATGTTTTGTGATGAGCAAGGTTTACAGTTTCTTGTCTCTATACTTACGAAAGTTATATTTCCCAATATATGGTGAAAGGAAAAACAGTACTTATTGCCCTTCCTATTTCCTTGTTCAGAGAAACCCAGGGGTTAATGAAGGCATAGAACCCATGTAAGACTGCATTTTACCAGCTCTCTTAAATAAAGAAGTTCTCAAGTGGCAGTTGAGGTATTGAGAATGACTGTTAAATTTAAGAATAAAATATGAGAAATGTCATACTAGTTAGGACCCAGAACCTATCCAACCCAATATTCTCTCTCAAACTTAGTGTCAAGTTGTATGGGAAGGCACAGGTACCATCTCTAACACTGTTTTTGGAGAAATAGATATGTATCCAAAACCATCTTAATTTCCCTTAGCAACTGATAAGAAATTTGTTATACATTCATTTATCTAAGCCTAATTTTAAATCTATTTATATTTCAGCCTGTCACATTTTTGGGGGGATAGTGACTTAAATAAATTTATTGTGCTAAATAAATAGTACTTGACTTACACTGTTTTTTAAAAACTTACCCTTTTCAGGCTACAAGAGATACAGTGTATTATTCTGGGGTTTTATTAACCACCTGTGTTCATCTATCTATACACTTTTGATTGTATAAACTTAAATCATATCACCTTTTGTTCTCCAAGGGTAAATTAAACTGTACAGTAGCAGTGGGAGTCAGTGTGGATCACGGTGTTCTCTAACTATATTTCTCTCATGTTAGGGTCTTTTAATTATCTCTATATTGAGAGATTAAATAAATAGATATTGCTCTTGATATCCTGATTTATCTTGTTGACAGATGAACAAGGGATTTGAAAGTAGAGAACAATGTGGAATTGAACTACTTAACTATAGTGTCAAGATTGGGAAGGGAGGAAAGTAAATCCAGATAGAGGTTGGTGTTCTGAATACTGAGGGATGGAGGCAGTGAAGGTAACAGTACTGATGAAGAAGGGATTTAGGAAAAGTGAAGTATAGCAGAGATGGAATGATATCATTTATAGTTGGAAGAAGAAATTTCAGAATTCTCTGTAAGTGGAACACTTGTGATTGATGATGAAAATCATCAGTGGTGATGATGAAAAAGTGTGATTAAGTGTGAATGTGAGGTTGGATGACATAAGCCATTGAAGTTGAGGAAGATTGAGGAACTAGGAGAACATGGTGATCAAATATACATCAACATTTATGTTGAAGTTGGCCAGTGATAGGCAAAGGGGTTGGGATGGAGAGAAACTCTGAACCAGGTACTGAACTCATTGCGATCTGGCTTCCAGTCACATCATTCAACTAAACATACTCTGTAAAATTATCAGTGATCTGTTTAAGAAAAAAGTATTAATATCTTTTGTTTTCACATTACTTAAATTTCCTCCTGTGTCCTTTACTCCTCTCCTTCCAGAGAGCATTCCATGTAACAAAGAATATTTTTTAAGAAAAAAAGGGGAAAAGAGAAGCAATAATCAGCAAAACCCAAACAGTAACCTCACAAAAGCCTGAATATATGTGTGGGGGGATGTATATAAAATCTTGAATACCAGACCTTTATCTGAGAAATTTGATAACAAACATTTTTTCATCATTTGACTGTTTTCTTATTTAATTTTGTTTGTGCAGAAGCCTTTTATTTTCATGTATTCAAAATTATTTTTTCTTTTACAATTGCCTTTATCCCTTTTTTGGTTAAAAATGCCTACCCAAAGCTGTAAAAGGTATATGATCTGCTTTTCTTGATTTCTTTTTTTTTATGGTTGATCTTTAATTTTCAGGTCACATATCCATTCCAAGTTTGTTGTGGAATATGGTGTTAAGATATTGGTCTGAGCCTAATTTCTGCCACACTGCTTTCCAGTTTTCCTAGTACTTCTTATCAGATTGAGAGTTCTTTCTTAAATAATTAACGTCTTCAGGTTTATCAAACACTAGGTTGTTGAATTCCACTATTTCTGAATTCTCCTTGTCTAGTTTATTCCCATTGATCTACTTCTCTATTTTTTAACGAATACCAAAAGCTTTTGGTGATTGCAATTTTATCATACAGTTTGAAGTCTGAAAGTGTTTCTCCTCATTTCTGTTGTTTTTCATTATTTCTACAAATTTTTTCTTTCTCCAAATGAATTTTTTTTTAAACTTTTGTCTGCCATCTTGGGAATGAGGCAGACATATTCATGGAGATGGTGCCCATTTTGCCTTGTTTTATTAGACTCTGAGAAAACAACCCCACTTTATCTTTTTCTTACTACCAAACTCCTTCATATATAATGGATGAGTATTTGGCAGTAGACTGCCATTTGTGTAGGCAAAGGAAACTTCTCTTAGTAATTGGTACACTAAAAAGGAAAAAAAACCCAGCTTCGTATGGGATATGCTTTGAGCAGTCCTAACATTCCTAAGGGTTTCCTTTTTGCCTAGGGAACAATTTCTTTTAACCTAAGGAAAAATGTTACATTCAAATCCCACAGACGAAGGGGGGCCATTTGAAGTGGCTGCCTCCTGCTCCTTTTTTTGTCATTAGCATCCTCAGGACTTCTTTCCCCTCTTACTGCAGTTAATAGTAGAGAAAACCAAGATTCCCCTTTGTTACCACCAAGTATATAGTTGGGAGGTGCTATTCATGATTGTCCCTTCATTGTCATTGAATCCAGGGACCTTCTTTGGGAGTGGCTTTGAAGGTCTCCTTACCATAAAATGTATTACATTTGTGTTACACTAAATGAGAGACAAAAACAATGCCTCTGTGCCCCATGACTATTTTACGCATAGACACCAGGTCTCTCACCACTTGGGTTAAGTATGAGACCAGAGCTAAGTGTACTTTTCATATGTGTTGTACCTTTGGATGTGGCATCTTGGAATGGGGTAGAGTAACTGATACTGACTGTGAGTTCAGTTAGACCCTTTGGCCGCTTATCACCCATCCAGACACCTAACCTGACCTTCCTATTGGCTAAAACCCTTCCCTCCTTGCTTCTCTTTGTTTGAAAAGAGAAAAGCCTTTGGCATCATACATCCTGAAGGTTGGCTTCCCTAGTTTGGGTGTATTTTCCCTAGTCTGTTTTGCTTTTTCATTTAAAAATAACTTGTTTTCCCCCTCTGAGGGGAAAAAAAATCGTGTGTGTGTGTGTTCAGAAATTTATAGTCGTTCATTACCTCATCTGTGTTGATTATTCTACTTTCCTAGGACTGGTGTCTCAGGTTTAGACTCCCTGTCTTTCCATAGCCTTTTTCTTTTTTTCATTCTTGTTCTTCTGGGGGGTTGGATGGGGGGAGGGGACCTCCCTTCCCCATCCCTTTCTGGGAAGCTGTTATTACTCTTCCTTGATCTGCTTCATAGCAAGAAGTTTGTTCTTCAGGCACTTCTTTAGGAACGAGCAAGTTTGCACATAGCCCACACACACCACATGCTTGTTTAGTGCTGAAGACAGAAGAATGGTTTGTTTGTTTGTTTGTTTTGGCAAAATCTGTGCATCCGTAGAAAATGTTCGCTTACCTTCTCTGGTGCAGTTGAAACCTTTGTTGTTTTTGGCTGCTGGCTAAATGCTCTGTTCCTTGAAAAGAAAAGAAGTCTCAGTAGCAAAACTCAGAATTTTTACATCAAATTGCTTTGCTGTTGCTCTTCTTCCGCTCACCTGTTCTCAGTTATAATTAATAATTAACAGGTGTCTGCCATTTACATAAATGTCTGAAATGTAAGCAGAAACCTTAACTAGGCAACTTTGATTTAAAAAAAAACCCAACTCAATTGTCCTCTTCTTAATATCCCTCTGGTTCTAATAACTGGTCATTTATTTTTTCATTTTCCAGACTCAGGAGATTCAAGGGTGAAAAATCAGTAATTAGCTGATTACTTTCCCCTCAAACACACAGAGATCGTTGATAGGCACTGATAACAGACAGAACAATTGTAAATACACCTATAAACCATCCTTTCTTTTGATGATTTCTTCATAAACAGGCAGGCAACAAGCATTTATTAAGTGCTTTTGTGTCAAGTGCTGGGAATACAAATAAAAGCAAAAAAGGACAGCCCCTGGCTTCAAGGAGCTTGTACTCTAAAGTAGAAACACATTAGTAGCAATGAGCAGGGAGTGTAAAGAGGGTTCCATGATAAAGATCCTCGATTAACTGGGGTCATGAATCTTTTTGCATCTTCTGTAGTTTCCTTCGTGAATTAATTTTCTCCGTATTTTGCACAAGCCAGTGCTTTGAATTTCCAATGTAATTAAGCTAATTTTATTTCAGTGCTCAGTAACAAAATCCTAAACATGAACAGACGCCTAATTTATTCTGTCTAAACCATGTAAGACAAATGAAGTTTATTTTTTTTCTTAGGGATCTCAAAAGCTACTGAAGATTTTATGCCTCTTCCTTCTACCTTCAGCCCTGCTCCCCCTAGTGCTTAGTGGATACTAACTTTTGTATTTCTTGAGAGTTTTTGTTTTATTTTAAATCTTGGGCCACTTTTAAGTTTTTTCACATACTTCTCAAGAGGGACTAAATTTAGATTCATCATTTTAAGAGTCTAAAGACAAGTAAAACAGTTGCTAACATTGTAATATTCCCGTTTATATAGCAAGGTCATCTGTTAACATTTTTAGTAATTTAATATTGGTGACATAATTCAGTACATAGTCCACTATAGTCCTTTCTTACTATATTCTTGATTGTCTATCATTGTATTTTGTATTTTATATTTGCATTTAGGCCTTCTTTTTTTACCTATTTATTCATCAGACATTTCTAAATGCCTGCTGTAAGCTAACCACTGTGTTTGGTGTTGGGGAGAGACAAAGAAAATTGACTTGTTCCATGTCCTTATGGAGCCGATTTATGTCCAACCGAGGTACTTGGCTCTATTGGATACTTTGCATTGGGGGTAAATGACTAGGGGTACAGTTTCACAGGTGACATTGCAAATTTATAGAGTTTGAAGCAGGCTGAAATGTTTTAACCATAAATGGTACCAGGAAAAAATATGTGCATAAAAGTGTATAAGTTTGTGTATAGAAGTTTGAGTGAATTCATAATGACTGTTAATAGGTGGATGCTGATTTTAGAATTCTGCAACTTAAGTCCTTTGATTTATAGCTGGAGGTAAAGGAAATGTTTATTGATATTCTTTTGCTATGTCTCAGAGGATAGGTCATTCAACGCTCTAAGGGACCTTGGTCTTCATCTAGTCTTATCTCTTCATTTTATAGATAAAGAACAAGGAAACACGTTCTGAAACAAGGTAGTAAGTGACAGAGCCAGGAGTCAGACCCATCTTACGACTTCAAATCCAGGGTCCTTTCCATCTTATCACTCTACCAGTCTGTTGTTGCATTCTTTTGCATTTTAGAGGGAAATATAGCTATCATATGGTCTTATTAAATTGAGGATGCTATAGTAATTTTTTTTATTAGATAATCTACACTTTTCATTCTTGGCCATGAAATCATTTTGATTTTAATGAAGTATCTTAAGGGCCAAGATTTCAATAATCCTACATGGTAAAGACCATTCTTTTGAGAGAGAAGAAATAATAAAGATTTTTTTTTTACATTAGCTTTCCTGAAATAAATTGTCTTGACTTTTTTGTGACTTTTATTGGTAATATTATTTGTTAAAATGGGGTTTGATATTTATCTCACTTTCATATTGATTGAGCACTTTTGTCCTTGTTGTGATAGTGTACTAACCTAGTTCATATTTTATAACTCTACATCCAAGATGGTTTGAGAAAAAGGAGGTATTTTGAAAAGCCATGTTAGTAAATGAAGGTTAGAAAAGTAACTATTGTGCTCACTTTGGTAGCATATACATTAAAATTGGAATGGTACAGAAATTAGCGTGGCCCCTGAGCAAGGATGACATAAAAATTCATGAAGTGTTCTATATTTAAAAGAAAAGCAATTATTATGTTTTTCCAGTATTTGTTGATTTGAGGCAGATGATATTTCAGGGAATGCTGTTGTAAGCCTAGAGATAACACAGTATTGTTTTCTCTTTTTCCATCTAAGAAAACAAAAAGAAAGTACTTTGAAAATAAAGGCCTTGGAAAATGACATTCATTATTATCATAATTCTAGGCAACAACATAATTTTTATCATTTTCTTCATTATCTCACTTGTAAACAAAAAATTTGAATTATACTTAATTTAACTTTTTTAATTTTTTTGGCTTAAAGGCTCTTCATGGAAATTCTCAATGAGTGTTCTGATGTGGATGAGATTAAATTCCAAGAAGATGGTTCTTGGTGCCCTATGAGACCGAAGAAAGAAGCACTTAAAGTTTCAAGTCCACAGTGTACAAAAATAGAAAGTATGTACAGAGTACCTAATTTAAAAAATCAGGAACTTAGCCTGCAATTTTACCTTTGGCTGCCAGATCTCAGTTTTGGTGTCTATTTAGGTTATAGCCATACTTAAGTGTGTATTCTGTGCTGTAATACATTATTGCATTTGCTGCACATTTAAAACACACAGACACATAGCATCATGGGTTTAGAGGTGGTATGGATTTTATTTTATTTACTTATTTTTAAATTTTTAAAATTAATTTATTTGTTTTTAGTTGTCAACATTCACTTCCGTAAGCTTTGGAGTTTTCCGTTTTCTACCCCTTCCTCCCCTCCTCCCTCCCCAAGACAGTGTGCAATCTAATGTAGGCTCTCCATATATATTCATATTAAACATATTTTCACATTGGTCATATTGTAAAGAAGTATTAGAAGCAAAGGGAGGAACCATGAAAAAGAAGAAATGAAACAAAACAACAAAAGAAAAAAGAGATCAAATGGTATGCTTCCACCTGCACTTAGACTCCATAGTTCTTTCTCTGGATGTGAACAGCATTTTCCATCATGAGTCTTTTGGAGTTGTTTTAGATCCTTGCATTGCTGAGAAGAGTTAAGTCCATCAGTTAGTTATCACACAATGTGGCTATTACCATGTATAATGTTCTTCTAGTTCTGCTCACTTCACTTAGTATCAGTTCATAAAAGTCTTTCCAAGGTTTTTCTGAAGTTCTCTTGCTCATCATTTCTTATAGCATAATAGTATTCCATTACATTCATATACTGTAACTTGTTCAGCCATTCCCCAGCTGATGGGCATCCCCCCAATTTCCAGTTCTTGGTGTGGCATGGATTTTAAGGGGCATGTAATCCAATCACCTCATAATCATCTGGATTCTTTTTGCTTGTCATAGAGCAGGCCTGCACAACATTGGCCTGCAGGCTGCTTATGACGCTACTTGTGGCTTACAAAAGAATTTTGGGCAGCCCAGGAAGAATGTAGAGGATGTAAAACAAGTCTGCTGAATGTACTGTTCACAGGCCTTATGTTGTACAGGCCTGTTATAGAGTGAAAAAAGTTCTTACAGATGTCTTTATTTTACTCCAGACTTTCAAGGGAAATATCCAACTCAACTTGAAGGTTAGCTCTTAGGAACAGCGTCTCTTCTGAATGAATTTTTTAAAAATGCCTAACTAGTTAAGGGATTTTTGTAATTTATTTTGCTAATGGTATTGCCAAAGAATTTAATGTTTGTTTTTAAGTAGTTCCTATTATGACTAAATTTAGTTGTGAATCTTGATGTCCTAGATTATGCTGTATTTCTGCTATTTGAACTAATGAAGAAAAGATAGTTTAAATTAATTGAAATCCACTAGTATTCTCCGAATTTCAGTTTAACTAAAGTAGCCGATTAATTCTCTTCCTATTTTTCTGACCAAATTTTGTTGGAGATAATAATCAGTAGTGTTCATTCATTACCTTGCTTGTAAGGAATCATGTCGAGCAAAATAGAAGGGAAAAAATAAGGGAATAATGCTATAATTAATCCTTATTAATGGACACCAGCTGTAAACAGTCAAATTACTATGATTATCATAGCTTTTAAAAATTTATAAAATAATTTTGATTGTTGACAACCCCTGATTTTTGTATTTGAGACAAAAATAGTTGTATATATGTGCGTGTGTGTGTGTGCGTGCGCATATATATATACACGTATATATATACATATATACACACATATATATACATACATATATATATATATATATATACACATATATATATATATGAAGGCATGTTGTTAATAGTTTTTCTCAATAAGTATTCATGGGATTTTGCTCATCTCTCCATTCTTGCCTATTTAGTACTTGAGGGCAAATGTTCATTTACCAGCAGATAAATATGGTTTGCATGATAATTAAATTTAAGATTAAGGAATAGTTGGAATTATTCTCATACTAAGCTAAGTATCCTGTCTTTTGGGACTAGGATCTTTTTTTCCTATTAAAACTCTTTTTTCTTTTTCCTCTTTTCTGTCTAGGTTCAAATGTCCTCAGTAAACCCTGTTCAGTGACCATGGCCAGTGAGACAAGCAAGAAGAAAGTAGATGTTATTGACTTAACAGTAGAGAGCTCTTCTGATGATGATGAAGAACCTCCTGCCAAAAGGAAATGCATATTTATGGCAGAGACACAAAACAGTCCAACCAAAGGGTTTGTTCACTTAAAGTTTATTACTTTTCCATAACTCTTCCAATTGAGCTTGATACTTGTAAGCACCCTATGGACTACAGTTCATAATTGGATGTTTGGTGTCTTTTGTTTCCTGAAGGATATTTTAATGTGCCTTTGTCTAGGTGCAGTGTGTTCAAAGCAGTTTTGCTGACATACTGCAAAGTTATTTTTGAGGAAGAAGATGTGACCCACTAAGAAAAACCTCATGTCAAGGAAAGTGGAATTGGGGGAGAGACTTTTGTATGCCAGAGTGTGTGATAAATTGCGTCTTTCCTTTAGCTAATTTGATAGGTCAAAAAGTAATTTTTCTTTTAAAAACAGTCACTTTCTCCCAGGGAAAAATAAGGAAAGTTACTTGATCAAGAGAGCTATGTGTTTCTTTTTACCATTTCTGATCATAACCTCTCAGTACTTCAGTAAAAGGTCTCAGTCAGTTTCTGTGCCCAAAAAATATATTACCTGTTGGATAACCCATCTGTTGATGATCTTTTATAAACTTGGTTAGTTAGGTCCTTGACATAGTCTGCTTCTGATCCTATACTCAAAAACTTTTCTAGCTTGCTCCTTATGAACTTGTACTGAGATATCTTTTGAGAACTCAGGAATACCCTCCATTCCACCACAAATCATCAAAATAAGAAGTGAAGGGTAGAGAAGAATATAAATAACATCAATTTCCTTTACTGCATACCTGATAAAAAATCATTACTCACTCACTGCAAAGAGTTTTCTGATGGACAACATCCACGAAGAGATTCTCTTTGGAGATTCTGAACTTGGTATACCAAAGGAAGCCCCAGAATTCTTTCCACCAGCTTAGAAAACAGACTTTAAAAACTTAGTCTGTGTTGGTGTCTTGGTATTTTAGTTTTTTGGGATCATTTCTGCATTTTACTTTCTAATCAGTTGTGGAAACCAGAATATTTTGAAGTGCCTTCCATGCTAACTAAAATACTTGGCAATCTGATTGTCAGAATCTTTCTTTATACCACACAAGTAGGACGAGCATTTGATTTTACATAGTTGTTTCACATAATACTTGATAAGTGACAAAGGACTTTATAAAGATCCTGAGTGAATGTTGCCTTTTTGAGAAAGACAATTGGCACTTCATGAATTTTTTAACAAAAATTGAAAAGCAGTATAGTAAACATGTTTTTGATGATTCTTACCTTGATCTTTGCTATTTTGTTTTCATTGTATTGTTTTATATAAAAGTAGTAGATTAATGGTGTAGTTTTGGGGGATAAGTATAAAATTGGGAAGAGAGGAATTAAGAAATTATTTTCTTAATTTGAGCTGAAAAATACAAAAGCACATTGTCCCTTGCTTAGAATACAGACTGGTGGAATCTCTAATAATAGATAGAATTACCAAATACTTAAGCTTGTCATGTGGAGAAAAAGACAACTTGTTCTGTATCAGGAAAAAATAATGTCTGACTTACCTATTAGACTTCTATAAGGGAGTATGTAATCATGAGTAAGAAAGAACCATTGAATGCAATATTTTAGACCTTTTAAAAGTCTTTGACGGGTTTTCTTGCCACAAGTGATAAAAAAAAGTTGACTGTCACTCATGGATTTGTAGGGACTATTGTGTCACTGGCTTAAAGGCAGAATAAAATATAAAGAATCAATTATATTACTAGGTGGAGAGCAGTTAAGTGAGGAATTAGAGTTGGTCAGGAAGAGGAAATATGCCATGAAATCTCCCAAATTTGTTTTTACTTGTTTTGTCTTTACTATCTTCTGGAGAAAATGGCATATACATTTTAATATGAGCAAATATGAACTGCATTTAAAATAATGCATTACTTTAAAGAAAAATATTTTAAACTATACATACCGAATGAAGAGCTGAAGGTATTGATTATGATTCAGGAAATGGGCTTGAATTTCTTTGTAGACTTCTCTTCTTTTGACAGTCTCAACCTGATATGCTGCTGTGGCCAAAAAGTCCAGTAAAATGCTAGGTGGTGTTAGAATTCCTGGAAGCTTGTTCTAGAAGCTGTTGTGTTGTGCACCTATTTCTAGGGTAATGATCATAATAGCTCACGTTTATTTGATGTTTGCAGAGCACTTTGTCCGTAACATCGCTATGCAGTAGGTCTGTACCTCTCTGTCACATCTAGTCACTGCTTTTCAGGGAAGACAGCTGAGCAACAGGAGGACCAGAGAAGGGCAAGCAGAGTGAACAGAAGAGAAGTAGAGACTGCCATAGAGGAGCAGACTAGAAAAGATTAGGCCTCCTCAGCCTTGAGCATAGCAGCCTTCAGTAAGTACTTAGGTGAATGAATAAACAAAGACTAAAAAATTATCAAGATTCATTGGATAGCTGAATGCAGGTTTGTCAAATCCCACTAAATTAGAAATGGTGAGTATCCCCATAACAATTCAAAGAGGTAAATTTGGGACAAATAAGATACTGCTTTTTATACATTAGATAGTAGATGCACAGGATTTATTTTCTTGAGAAGGCAGCTAGTAAGGTTGAAAATATTAATAAGTGAGGCTTATAAAGGATGGATAAATGCATTATGCCTGTTAAGGGCATTGAGATGCTTTTGTTTTAACCTTTACGGTTGACAAAGAATCTCACAGTTGTCCTCTGATGGCCTCTAGTTTAATCCTTTCCCTCCCTGTCCCCTTTAGGTTTCATTGGCAGCTTTGTTGGCCACATCACAATTTACTCAGTGAGCTTATAGTCCATTTCAAACCCCGATGTCTTTTTACATGAACTGTCTTATAGTCATATTTCCCTCATCCTGTCTTTTGTTAGTTCATTTTTTTTGAATCCAGAATCATAAAATCAGATTAAGAAAAAACCTTAGAAGTCATCTCATCCAACGCCTTAATTTTATGGGTATGGAAACACTTATACTTATTGAATATCTTACTAGATTTGACTCATTGCTCTAGACTGTCAGTTTTTTGTTTTTGTTTCTAGTTCTATTGTCCATCATTCTTCATCCAGCATTGAGTCATTTGAAGTTTGATAAGGCTTTCATCCAGGTTATGAATAAAAATGACGAACCTGCCCAAGGCCAAAGGCAGAGTCTTAAGATACTTTTCTAGAGGCCTCTTTCTAAGTTCAGTTCAGTTTTTAAGCACCTAGTATGTGCAGAGTACTATGTTAGGCTCTGGAGAACAGAGACCAAAAAAAATGGTCCCTGTCTTTAAGGAGCTTACATTCTACAGGGTTCATATCAGTCTATTATAAAGCCCATTTCTGTCCATCATTTCTGTAAAGATTTATGAGACGCTCTTAACATGCCCTGTTGAAATCCAGATAATGCACTGAGTACATCATTCCCCAATAGACATCAGGATCATTTCCACATGTATTAATCCTGTACAAAAAAAGAGAAATGGAATTACATATTCCTGATAAATCCATTCTTATCTATCTGACCCTTTTCTAAATGCTTATCGAGTATACTTTTCATAATGTGTCAGAGAAATATACTGGAACTCAAGCCCCTTGATAAGCTTACCTTTGTCCCCATCTTGAAAGTCAAGATGATATGTCTGCCTCCTTGAAGAACTTAAATCTTTTCACAGATTCATTGTTGTTCTCTTAGAGGCAAAGTTCTGAGGTGGACTCATCCCTGGACCTGAACTCCATCTGTGACTATTCTTTCAGTAATTTAATTTTGGTATTTGGTTTAAAAAAAAAAAGGAGCTTTTTGTCTTTATCCTCTGTGGAAAGAGTGTTGTGATACAACTCAACAACAGTGAGAACATCTTTTCAGTCTGTGAGCAGAAAAAAATTGGCATGTGACATTTGTTGTGAATGAGCAGTGCTGCGCTGTCTTTTGAGGCATATGAGGCCCTTTTCTAGCAGTAGCAGGGACTATAGGTAGGAAGATTCGTTTTAAAATGGAGTATGCTAAGAAAAACAAATATCTATTTGACTTGAGGAGTTAGATGAATAGCTGACTTGAGGAGTAAATGAATAGAGACTGCTATGTAAAGATATTTTAGGTAGAACTGATTATTAAAAACAATTCCTGTGTATAAATAAAATTCAATAATACAGCCTCCTATAGGAGGTGTGTCCTAGTGACACAAAAGCTTCCAGAAGTTTCTGTGAGGCAGAGGTATCAAGTTCAAATAGAACCAGATCTGGGGAGTAGGACATCTGCTGTAGGCATTGGGAGAAGTGATTTTGCTAAAGACAGACTAGACATACTACACTGAACTACCTTACCTCTTTTGTTCTAGATTTAGCCCTGACATTATTTTCATAGTTTTTACTCATGTTGGAATTTAGCAGGGAAGCTGTAGGATTGAAAATCATTTTAAAGATAAACCAAGGCATGATTTGCAACACAGATTGAGTTGAGGAATGGATCTTCTGAAAGATAGAGCTTTCCTTTCTTAGCATTTTGTAAAGACACCTGATTTGGGGAGAGCCATTCCTGAACTTCAGAATTTTGAGGAAATTACAGCACATTATGTCAGGGGCCAAAATAAGTCCGCACTTAGACCAAGTGAAAACCAAGGTTTCAACTTAAGTTCTGAAGTAGGACTGATAAGTGTAATGGAAATGAACACAGTTGAGTTTCATAGAAAGAATAAAGTGACCATGTCTGAGCAGTCATTTCATTTGGGGACAGCATATTGAGGGAGGGCAGTGGAAAGAGCCAGGAACATGGAAATTAAATTAATGAGAGAGCTGCACAGCTTAGGTGACCTTTTTTGTTTTTGTTTTCTTTCTCTAAAACCCCTGAAACTAAATTCTGAATGAGACAGTACTAGCCTTGACTTCAGTGAAGAGTTATCTCTTCTCACTTTATCCTCGGCTTAAGTCTCCCTTTCTCCTTCTCCACCCCCCTTCCCCTTTCCCCCTTTTTTCCTCCTCTCTTCCTTTTTCTTCCCTTTTCTTTCTCCCTACCTCTTTATTCCCCTCTCTCTCCTCCTCTTATTTTTCTCTTCTCAAAGGGCCTTTATGAGAAGTCCTAGTAGGCAACTTTATTGTTGATACTCTCCACCCTCATGCAGACTACTGCACTGTAGTTTGTATTTTCCCGGTACTAGAAATTATCAACGACCGCATAAAGTAAAAGTAGTTTTATAAGCACTAAAATTCGTAATTTTTCATACACCCATCACACCTATTTTAATCTTAAGACATTGTAAAAAGCAGTGGAAACATTTCATTTTGTTTCCTTGTTAGCCTGAAACAGAGCTTCCTTGTGGCTTTTCCAAGTACATCTTCCCACCTGAAATAGATTAGATTGTCAGAAACCAGTACCTTTTGGGCAATACCAGGAGATCAGTTTCCACTAAGTAGTGAGAGTATGTCTTACCACCTAATGCACGGAAATATAGCCTCATCTTTTTCCAATGAAAGTACAGCACCCTCTGGTGGAAGTATTTTGGCAGCCTTCTTGGCATTGTCAAGAGAGTTAAGTGCGGGAAGGATATAAGGAATTTCACTTATTCACAGATTTACAGAAATACAGAATCAAAAGGAATGTTAAAGACCATGTAAGTCGCCCATATAGGGATAAGACTTTTATCTACAGTATCGCTTCTGCTGAAGATCTCCAGTGATAGGGATCCTTCTAAGGCAACTCAGCCTCTTATCTCACAGCTGACATAAGATGTTGATAGTGTTTAGTAGCAAACTGGCAGCCAACTTCTGATTGCTTTGTGATAGAAACAATACAATTTAAGTGTGAAAATTTACATCAAGTTAATCTACCATGGAACATGTAAGTCACATACTTTCATTGGCCTCATAAGTGTGTTGTATACTTTGATACATTCTTGTAAAGATTCTGATGTAAACAAAAGTTCTTGTCTGACTTTTAGTAGATTTATCACCTCATTCTGGCCATAGAATATACTGTACTTTAGAATGTATGGAGGGAGTATACCATCAGAGCTGGGAAAGACGTTAGAGATCATCTAGTCCCACCCTCTTACTTGACAGATGTTGAAACTGAGGCTCAGAAGTAAAGTGCTTTGTCTGTTGGCACAGAGAAAAGTAGCAACAAAGGCCCCCTACGGCCTGGGCCTTTTGAATCGCATTCCATTACTATACTGTCTATGTGACTTTGCTGCTCGGTTGCCATTGGAAAGGCCAGTATCGAGTCCTATTTTCAAGTGCAAGGGTTATAGTCAAATAACTTGTGCACCCAGGACTGAGACAGGTATTTTCACCCATATTAATGCATGCCACGTTTTGGTAGTGTAGCCAGAACCCCAAACATTATTTAACTTTGACACATTTGTTGTAGGTGATATATGTGTCCTCAGAGCACAACATTAAATATAGGTATTCCACGGGAGAGATCATCCAGTTCAACTATTGCCACGATATTCTGCCATCTGTACAGTTAGAGAAGAAAGGCCAATATGACGGAGGAAGTTAGTGCCAAAATAAAAGCCAAGATGTTGAGGGTGAGGCCCTAATTGAAAGAAAAACTCCTCTAGCTTGTGAGGAACTAAGGTAAAGGAACAGAAATGAAGACAGATAAATTATTATGTACCCCTTAATACCCAGAGATTTTTGTTAAAAGCTCTACATAATGGAGGATCCCAATCTGATAGGCGTGTGTGTGTGTGTGTGTGTGTGTGTGTGTGTGTGTATGTGTGTGTGTGTGTGGCATTTGGAGTTAAGTGACTTGCCCAGAGTCACACAGCTAGTAAAGTGTTATGTGTCTGAGGTCGGATTTGAACTCAGGTCCTCCTGATCCATGGCCAGTGCTCTATCCATTGTGCTACCTAGCTGCCCCATCTGATAAGCTATTAAGAATGATTTTTTTTTTAGAAAGTCGCAATTCTTTAGGCATTAAAATTTATCTAACTTTCAGTTTGTTTCCCAAGATCAACATTCATATGCCTCAAGGAAGAAGAAAAAATAAGCTTTAAATAAAAAGTGTGCTTAGCTCCATGTCTACACTCTTACCCCATTGCTTTTTCCTACCTTGTTCAATATGACTTCATCATAGTGCGTATTTCTCAGCAATTCATCAAATGGCATCCTATGAAGTCTCTTTATTCCTAACTCAATAAGTTTTTTACAAGACGTGTTTTCATATTTTAGAAGGCAGCCTTTGCTCTCATCCCCTAAAAAGCTTTGTCTGTTGCCCCTAGTATTTTGCTCTTACCTCAGGTAAATTCTGCTGCATGTGTTCTCCAAATGGTCTGTTTAACCCTGTAGAATTTAAATTCCTTGACTAGTTTTTATTTTCATCTTTGTATCCCCAGTGCCTACCACAGTGCCTTGCATGTAGTAGGTACTTAATAGAAGCTAGTTGAATTAATTAATTAATTAATTAATCTAAATAACCAAGTGATCTCTAAGCTGCTATTTTCAGAGGATCCTGGCAGTATTTATTTCAGTTGCCAACACAACTAGAGATGCATTTCTTTTCATTTTAAAATGGACTACTACACTGGTTGTAACCATGTTGTTGAGATAACCTCTGAGAGTAGTAAAAACTTGCAAACCATTTTCTTTCCAGGTTTAGAATAAGTTTAAAGTCCAAGTAAAAGTTCATAGTATTATCAATGATATAAGTTAAATCAGTTTATATAGCTAGTTGTTTCATAAAGTTCTTTGAACATGAAAAAACACTGTAAATGTATTGTTTCTTGACTTCCTTACTTAATAATTTAAACAGTAGTCACAGATCAGTGGGGTGCTATGGAAGGAACTCTGAACAAGACACTTTTGGTCTGGCTTCAGCTTTGCTGCTAACTTAGCTGTGTGACTTTGGTTAAACCATTTTGCTACTCATGACTTCAGTATCCTTTTTTAGAAAAGGAGGGGCTTGACTAGCTGATCTTTAAGATTCTTTACTCCAAGATTCAGTAATTCTTATAGCAATTAACTGACAACTTTTGTATTCCTTTGATGCCTTTGGTGTTAATTGTCAGCAAGATGGCTGATATCAGCCTTGTGGTCCAAAAGCAATTGTGAAGGTTTTATATGTATTGAGGCTGTATTTCTTGCTTGTGAACTTCCAGTAAATTTTTATGGCTTAAATAGGAATGCGTTTAATTTAGACAACAAAAGGAAAATAGTTATCAAGAATTTAGAGGAATAAAAGAAAATCTTGTTAAACCTGAGTATTTTGAACTGTGGCTCATACTAAAATGATAGTAAGTAATACTTTATCTGTTTGATTTGAATTTTTAGTAGCCAAAACAGTTCATTTGAAAAGTGCAGATCTTCCACAAGATGGTGTGCGGTCTTGTGCCAGGTTTATTGAACATTAAGGCCTCAAGTATTAGCCTGACATGGACGTTGCTATGGTTGTCATGTTTAGCATTTGTTTGTCACACCATTTCCTGTGTGAGTTTGGGTTTAGCAACCATTGAGGCAAACCCAGATCTCTTTTCACTGTAGAAAACAGATCACTGTAGAAGATCAGGATACTATTTAAGTACTTTGGTGAGAATTGAGAAAATTTTCTGGCTGTGCTGTTCAAAAAAGGCCACCACATCCCTATACTCTTTGGTGCTAGTCTTGAGTTAATTCAACCTGAACAACCCCTCTTGTTCTAAATTTCCTTCTACATACACATATATGTCAGTGAAAGCATATATCTAATATGTGTGTATGTATGTATATGCATTTATATGTTTATATTATTGGATGGAAATATCATAATGACTCAGGCACTGTACTTTGTTTTAATGCCACCTTGCTCTTATGTCACAGCTGCTGTTGAGAAACAAGATACATTCATGTTATAATGAAGACTTATGAAAGATGAGATTAGAATGCAGTAACAGTGTTGTGAGTAGCCACTATATAGTTGTGTTGCAACTGAGAACGACCAGCAGTACAGCTCTTTTCTCCTGTAAACTAACAGCCAGATTGCTTGTAATTTTTCATACTGTTTAAAACAGGGTTCTCATGTACCAGCCATCTACTGTCAGGGTGCCCAATGTGACTTCGGATGCTGCTATTCCACCTTCATTAACAGATTACTCAGTGCCATTCCACCACACTCCAATATCAAGTATTTCCTCAGATTTGCCAGGTATGTATTTTGTTAAGATTTTCCTCTCTTACTTAAAAGTGTATATTTTAAAACAGACTTACTTTTAGAACAGCTGTATTATGTATTATTTAAAATTTTAATTTTATCTTTCATCAGTGGATCTGTGACCTAGCTATTTAACTTCGTCCATTAGCTTATTAGCTCTGTGACCCTGGCCAAGTCATTTAACCTCCATTAGCTTCAGTTTCCCCTACTGTAAAATGGGTCTAAAAATATCACCTACCTCCCTGAGTTGTTGCAGGAATTAAATGAGACATTTGGAAAATGTTTGCACAGTACTTGGCACATAGTAAGCACTTAATAAATGCTCCTTCCCAGTAATCTTAGATGAAATACATTTTTGAAGGTTTATAGATGACATCTATTAGTCATTTTAACAGGTCATATCTTGATTCCCTTGGAGGAAGGCAAGTGAAGTAGTGGGAAGAAACTGTGCTTAAAGTCAAATGACTGAGTTCAATCTCAAGTCTTCCACATTTGTGGACTTGTGTGACTTTATACAAGTCACTCAGCCTCATCTAGAATGCAATTAATAATATTATATTTATCTTGCCTAGCTTGCAGGGTTGGTCCAAAGATTAATGAAATAATAGATGTAAAGTGTTACATCAGTGAAAGCTACTATCATCACTGTCTTCCCAAAGCTTTCAGAACAGAAAGATCACTCCCTGATTGAGGATACATAACACACATACATACACAACAGAAACAGAGATTTATAAGATATATATCCTTTATGATGAATTTACTGGTTAGCTGTATTAAGGGTAGGACAGGAGTTTGTACTGTCAGTAGAATGTGTCAGCATATTTATTCATTATGGAGGCTGCACAAGTACTGTTTTATTCCCTCCTCCAGCTTTACCCTGTTCATCCTGTTTTCTTAAAAGGGCTCTTAGAATGTACCAGCTGGTTCCACAGTCAAAATGCTTGACATTTAAGTTTGTCTTTTTCTGTGAATGTCAGCTATAATATTTAGAAATATAACTGAGGTTGCTGAAATTGTCTGAGTAATAAGATTTCCTAGGTGAAATTCATATTTTCAAATGAATGTTGCCTTCCTCGAATTTCTCCCCACTAAAGCACACAGACACACTTGTCAGATAATACACTTTATGTTCAAATTTTACACAAGTTACTGCTACTTACTCTGCCTTTCTTCTTCTGATTCAGGATACATTTGATGAACTATAGTCCTTGTTCTCTTTCTTTTCACTTTTATTTGTTGAAAGAACATGAAAATGATCTGACCTAAGTTTTGTTTTGTTTTTTTTCTAATGAGGTTTTTGGTGATGCAGTGGATAGAGCACTGGGCTTAGAGTGAGGAAGATCTGAGTTCAAATGTAGCCTTAGATACTTACTAGTTGGGTGGCACTAAGAAAGTCATTTAACCCTATTTACCTCAGTTTCCTCATCTGTAAAATGCATTGGAGAAGGAAATGGCAAATCACTGCAGGATCTTTGCCAAGGAAACCCCAAATGGGGTCACTTGAAGAGGCATACACGACTGAAATGATTGAGCAACAGCAACAATAACACTTAGGTTTTTATTGTATCCCAAGTACTAACTTTCTCCTGGATTTTTATCATGGTATTTTATCATAGGATTTGTTCAATTTTTGTTGCTTTAGCCCAGTACGATTTGGACACTTAATGAGTTCCATAGATTTTATTTATCTCATTATATTCAAATCATGATGTGGAGGCAAAAATGTTGAATTGAGAATTTGGAGACCTAGGTTTTAGTTTTGGTTCTCCTGCTAAGTAGTCATAGGAATTTGGGCAAATCACTTCCATTTTCTGAGGCCTTTAGTTTTCTGAGATGATTGGATTAAGTGCTCTCAGAGGACTTTTCCAGGACTGAAAATTGATGTCACTTTTTGGGAAATACTTTGAAGCGGCTGAAATTATATGCATAGCAGATAATTAGACTATAACTTTTAAAGTTCAGCAGCTTTGAATCTCATTTATCACCAGTTATATAAATACTCATTGTGTGAAAAACGCTGCTCTGACCTGGAAGTGGGGAGCAAGTATTAAAAGAAATACAAGCCACAGTTTTTGATACACAAGCATACATGCACACATGCCTTCCTGTGTGTGCCAATAACGTACATAACATAAAGATATTGAACATATATGAAACCCATATATGTTAAACATGTAAAGGTGAAGTGTTTTTTCTGTATGCTCCATGTCAGCCCCTTACATCTCTAGGACCTGAGTGACACTATGCCAGGGCCTCATAAAAACCAGTTAAATTGCTCTTGCTGGTGCTACTTTGAAAGTTAGTGGCCACGGCTGTTCTAAGCTCAGGGGCTATAGGAGGATGTTTCAGATTGCCTGTACCATTAGCAACCTATATCCCTAGCATCCAGCTTTGTACATAATAGTTGCTTAATAAATGTTTGTAGAATGGAAATGAATGGAAGATGAATAGGACTGGTAGGTTGGGCTCTATTTTCAATTCTTGTTGTTTTTTTGAGTGTAGTTAAATGTCTTTTGTCATTGCTTAATTTTCTCTAGATTCAGTGGCTCTGGGGCGTACTAATTTAAATGTATTGTGTAGATGACTGACCTACCTATCTGATGTGCTCTACACAAAATGTGATTTAAAAATTAAGAATTTTGGGGCAACTAGGGGGTGCAATGGATAGAGCACCAGCCCTGGATTCAGGAGGACCTCAGTTCAAATATGGAGTCAGACACAACGCTTACTAGCTGTGTGACCCTGGGCAAGTCACTTAACCCCATTGCCTACCCCCCCCAAAAGAAGTTTTTTGAAGTTTTCTTTGAAACATTTGGGCAGGGAGATGCATATGTCACTTGTGTGGGGAACTTGTACATGTTCTTATTATATTTTAGAGTAGAGGTTCTTCCCCAAGTATTTGTAAAGTAGTGCAGAGAATAATGTGTTAAGGCTAGTAGGTTAATTATTAATCAGTTTTGCTTAGTTGTTGTTAGTCATGTCCATCTCTTCTCAACCTTGTGAACCACACTGTCCATGAGGTTTTCTTGGAAAAGATATTGGAATGGTTTGCTACTTCTTTCTCCAGTGGATTAAGGCAAACAGAGTTAAGTGACTTGCCCAGGCTCACATCTAGTAAGTGCCTGAGTCTGGATTTGAACTCAGGTCTTATGACTCCCAGCCTAGCACTCTATCCACTGAGCCCATCTAGCTGCCTTCTAGTTTCACTTAATATTAAATGGCTTAGAAAAACAAGCGGATTCTTAGAATTAATTCCTCTTTTCTAAATAGAAAAGATTACTGCTAACATATCATTTTCATTTTAGGTTTGGATTTTCTTTCCCTAATTCCAGTTGATCCACAGGTATGTTACCTCAGTTTAGCAATTAATTTGCATTTCATTTGGATATGATGCTTTAAATTAAGAGGCCAAATTTGTTATTTTGACAAAGTAGTATAACATTAGAGCTCGCAACTCACTTGTTCACACTAATTGAGGTAATTTAACCTTCAGAATCCATTTTAACATATCCTTAGCTTAAAAATGTGTGTATATTTCCTGAGAATGAGGGAGCCAGGAATGTGAGGGAATGAAGTCTGGGGGTTTGTTACATGGTCAGGCAAAGCTGACCTAGTGTTAGAAATATACCACATAGTACACAGAGAACTGAGAAGCTTGAACAATAAGATTTGTTCAGCCATGTTTATAAAGCTATCATGTAAATTAATGTATCTGTGACTACAGTAGGCAAACCTTTATACGTGTATACATATCACTGTTCTTTTCTGTTTAAGATAGCAAGTAACCTTTCTGCTAGATTGTCAGGGTCCAGGCATAGCAATAGCCATGCATGCCAAAATCAGGTTAAAGGCCTTGGCAAAAGAGAAGGAGGAAAGAAAAGGAAGAAGATAAGAAAGGGGAAGGGGAGAGAAAAAAAAATTGTAGAAGAGACCTACTGGCTCTTACTCAGTTACACAAGGACATAAAATTTGCCTCTTTTATAATTTGATACTGTGTACTTGACCACATTGAGTTCGTACAATGGGAACATTGGACCTGTGCTTAGAAGCATTTCAAGTCAAATGAAATCTAAGTCATTCCCTATTTTCACTTTCTAGTAACTACTGTATCAGTAAGTTCTGAGGCAAACTCATCTATGTACATTGCTAGGTTATCCTTTAGACTTGAAGGGAGTATATGTTTCATTGTGAACATCTCTTTGGATCAGACTGCTCAGCTCTGGGGAGTGAAAATTGAATTCCTGAGCTCTATTGAGTAAATTTTGTGGCTGGTGGTAGTTTGGTCAAAGGATGGTCATAATGAAGGTTCATTTTCATATAAAACAATCAACATTGTTTCACCATCCTTACTGTACACTTAATCCATAGCTATTTTAAAAGTAAAATACATTCCATTAGAAGGGTAAACAAGAGGAACAAAGTAATTAATATAAAATGGCTAGATCATCACAAACCCATTTCTAGTAATTAGAAAATTAAATGTACCTGCTAATAACACATCCAGAACAACCATTTTGGAAATGAAGGATAACATATTTTTACTAACGCAGAAAAAAAAAGGAAGGGAACTTTAATAGTAAAGTTAGGGCTTGAGGAATACAAAGAGATTGTGATGTTTGACAGATTTTTTCCCCCTATGATGTGAGAAATTGGGAATTAATTTCCTCCTCCTCTCCCCCCACGTTCTTCTGTCCTTTTAAACATTTGATAGTTTCGTTTATAGTTCTCAGAAGCTACTTAAAAACTTTACAAATTCACTTTGTATATGATCACTTTTTTGGTGAGCCTAGATATTTCTAAATAGTGAAAATGTTCCACTTTCTTAAAATAGGTACTATGCATGGCTGGCATGACACTTGTGAGGAAGCCTACATATTTCCTTTCAGAAATCTTTACACTTGCAATAAAACCTAAGGTATCTCCCCATTCAGTGCATTATAGATTTTTATTTGATTAAAAACTATACCTTATATATAAAAGACACATCATGTAATATCTAACCATTTTTTTTTCTTTTTTTGGTGAGGGAATTGGGGGTTAAGTGACTTGCCCAGGGTCACACAGCTAGTAAGTGTTAAGTGTCTGAGGCTAGATTTGAACTCAGGTCCTCCCGACTCCAAGGCCAGAGCTCTGTTCACCTAGCTGCCCCATATCTAACCATTTCTTGCTCTTAATATGTAGTATCTCAGTGGACATTCTATTTTAGAAGTCGTTTAGTCATTTCTGCGTCAGTAAACATATGTCACAACTGAAATCAGCTGGCCAGCTTTCAGTACAGCACACATTTAATAAATATCTACTCTCTGATAGTCGTTAGGGAAGGTACAAAATTTGGCTACAATGCTCCCTACTTCATGAAAAGTTAGGATAGATGGGATCAAAGGCTCAGGTGGTGGGGTCATCCAAAGGTCTAGGGAGGCCTGGATGCCTTTTTCTTTGAGATAAGAAGGGAAAAGGGAGAACGTGGAGAATGGTCTTGGAATGTTTTAAGTAATGGAAGAGGTAACCATCCATTCAGATAGTATTTGGTTGTCACAGTGAAGTGTGCAAGCTCAGTCATATTCTAAGTGTGGGAGGTGCTTTTTGATGGAGGGGCTTACAGAGAGAGCAAGTATGAGAAAGGCAGTGAGAGTAGAGGAGAGAAGGATTGCTGAGCAGTGCTGAGAAAGCCTGGCTGGGTTGTGTTGCATATGACCTTAACCTTAACTAGAAGATATGATTATAGTAGTCAGTTAAATTTAGTTACGTTTATTAAACACCTAATGTATGTAGAGCAATATTCTGTACACTGAGAAAAAGACAGAGTTTAGAGAAGACATGATTCTTCCCTTCAAGGAGTGCATAGTCTTATAATATACATAGAAACAAGTCCTGTTGGAAGTCTTAAGAGGAAAGGTCATTACTAAATGGGGGAATTTGGGGAAAGAGTCATAGGGAATGTTGAATTTGAGGTCAGCTTTAAAGCTGTTCTGCAGTTGGGAAAAGGAAGAATGGTACTCCAGATTATCATCCAGGCCTGAAAGAACAGGCAAATTTTTAAGGCCACTTTATACTTAATCAGCATCATTGAAGGTAACTATGTATTAGTTCTCCCAGAATATGTAAGATGCTCCTTTAGGCTATGTTAATTAGCAGCTGCTCTCTGTTCTTCAGGTTTAATCCAGAGTTGTCTGACTAATGCTCATCAGTGTCTGTTTTGTGCCTTAAGATAAATTAGTCATTGATGATATTGGTAGGGCTTTCTAATTTAGTTGTAAGCAGTACTTAAAAACAAAATATTATGTAAATTAATGTCATCTTATGAAACCTTGAGAAAATTTTCATCTCTGCGTGTATAGGCATAGGCCAATGAGATAATGTGAAATTCAGTGTTTTGTTTAAAACCTCTGTAATCTCTTGCTCATCATCACCATCATTGTTGTTTCAAGCAGTACTGTCCTCCTATGTTTCTGGATAGTCTTTCCTCAACCCTGTCAACAAGCAGCACAGCTGGAAACATCATCACATCCACAAGCCCACAGGAAAGCAACACTCATGTGACTTCATCGGGCAGGAGTGAAACTGGGGTGATAACCAGCAGCGGGAACAACATTCCAGACATAATCTCATTGGACTAAAGTGGACTCATTGGACTACAGGAGTAATTAGCCAGTGCTGCTCTTTCTTGCATCTCTGGTCCATGGAATCTATTTTATTGCCAGTTAGTTTGATATTTATTGAAAAGACAAATGGATTCTGTTACCTTCTGAAAATGGAAGAAAAAAAGATTATGTGCGGCAAGAAGTAAATTTAGCTTTGAAGGATTTTTTTTTCTTATTCATAAAATACTCTGAGTATTAAATATATTCAGCCGCATTGCCATCTTTTAAAAAATGATTTGTTTCTTATGTTGCTGGATGGATTCTACAAACTGGTTAAAAGTAAGTTTTTGGTTGTACTACACAGCAATAAAATTATGTAAATAGTCAAACTTTTTTTCTAATAAAAGGCAATTAACTTCTAGAAAAAAGTATGCCCACATATTCTATGTGAGAGTCTCCTTTGCTGAATGAGTACTTTTCACAGGTCTATCTAACTTTGACAGTAAGGAATCCTGAAATGAACCTGGCTTACTTTATATCTATGCTGTTAGAATTCTTCTCTTTCTGTTTCCCATTAAAGAGAAATAACTCATTTCCCCCCAGATTGTCATTGACACTGTAATATTGCTGATAAGAATGCAAAATGAAATTCTGGTATTTGGATGCGTATATAGAAAGATCACTATGCAAAATCTGCCACAGGCATAATATGTTTAATGTTGGTGGATGTACATTCCAGGTACCTCATGACACATATTGGGAGTTTTACTTGTTTTCTCAAAAAGGAAACACTGCACAGCTATTGACTGAAAACAGTCCAGCCACAACTTTGTGGGATGGGGTGGAGACTTGGGCAATAATTGACTGAATGTTAAAACACCAAGATATTTTCCCTTTGTGAAAATTTGCAGAGGAGCAGGGATATTGGGGAGGAGTTGGGAATAAGAAATCTTAATTTGTTTGCAGAAGCTTTATTTTTCTCTTTCATTTTATGGTATAGGATACAAACACCCATGATCATAGTCTAGTGCTCAGGAAGGTTAAACTAGCACTGAAACCTTTGAGAGCCTTGAGTCACACTTTTTTTTTTGGCCCAAAGAAGCCAGTTTCCTGTAGGATATTTGTTTTCTTTGTCTAGTTTAAAATAATTTGGAAAACTTGGTTTTTCCACTTGCTGAATTTGGTACCCTTAACCTTTAATTAACTTTCTTTGGAAACTACATCATGTTCTTGGCTTAATTTAATTAACTTGAACAATTTGTTGGTTTTCAAGGATTTAAATTACTTCAATACTGCTCTTTAGTTTTGTGTATTATTCTTTTCCAAGATGCAGTCATTTCACATAGCTTTGAATCTAAATCTCTTCACTGACTGCCATGCAATTGACTAATCTTTTTATAAAACTGAGATGCCTTACTGAGTACTTGTGAACTCTTGGCACGTTTTAACCACTGTCAGAGGGAGAGCTTCGTCCCAGTCTGTAAAATAGTCAACTGCATATGAACGACTGTGGGTCATAAGGTCATAGATCTAGAGCTAACAGGGGCCATGTAGTTCAGCTTCCTCCTAGTTTTATACATGTGGAAACTGAGTCCCAGGGAGAGTCTAAGTGACTTGCCCAAGGCTCTTTCCACATGACTTCAGAAAATCACCACTGTCCCTGGTTGGTTTTTGCACCTTACTAAGCTTTGCTTGTTGGTTTTGCTTAATTTCTCTTGTGGACTATATTGAGTTTATACAGACTTAATTTCAGATAGCTTATTAGATTTTTTTTTTAGGCCTTCAACTAGGTGGAAAACACCATGTGACCTCTTGGGGATGGTTATTGAAGATGGAAATAAAATGAAGCAGACACCAATTGTTATTCACAACTTCTTTTTCATTACTATTTATCATGCTCCTTTAGCAGGTTTCCCATCCATGTGACAGTCCTGTTTCAAAACAGAAATTAATACTGCTTTTCCAAGAAGCTTTTCTGTGGCACCATGCCAGATTCTTCAGTTATTACAGCTGCATTGTCTGTCTGCTAACTTTGTAATCAGATAGTAGTAGTTTCCCAGTTTGTCTGACATAATTTGTTTAATAAAACATGATGTATATTGTTGATCATTCTGTTACCTTTTAGATGTTGACATAATTATCTTTTCATTTAACCAGCAGGTTTACAGTAGGTTAAAAGAAATGACTCCTAGAAATTCATATTTGGATGTTTCCTTGGCTCTTATTGTTGACTCTTGAATTTCAAAAGCTTGCATTAATGTTTTTTCCTTTTTGCTATTCCATGCTATTCTCATCTAGTACTTCACCTTCTGAATAGAATTTTTAGTTTTTCTAATGAAAGGAGTTATTCAGAGGCCATCTAGTTCAGCCTGTTCTTGGATAAGAATCCCTCTATCACACCAATACATAGTCATTTAGTCTTTGCCTGTGAGGGGAAACCCATTACCTGCTGTGTCAGGCCACTTTTGGAAGTTGTTATTTATATTATGACTAATTTTTTCTTAATGCAGCTTCCACCAGTTTTCTACCCTCTCTCCTCTGGTACCATGCAGAACAAGCTTGATGCCTTTTCAATGGATAGTCCTTAAAATACACAGTTATGTCTTCCCCCCCCTGCTATCTTTTCTTTTTTGTCTAAGCATCCCCAGTTGGGGCTGTAATTATAATTCATTTGAAAAATATTTAAGTCTCTTCTGCATGACGTGCCCTGTGTTACTTGTCAAGGATAAAGGCATGGATACTGCCTTCAAGGAGCTGGTGTTTTGGTTGGAAAGATTAATAAATAACTCATGAAATGGAAGGAAGATCAATATGACAGCAAATAATTAAATGTGATACTGAGGTGTGACTTTAGATAAGAGGGTGAGCTCAGTGAAAGTGTAAAAGGAAGTATAACTTGAAGTGGGTATTGAAAGATTGGCATGAGTGAGTTAAATGGGGAAGAGAGAAACACCATTCCAACTTCTTGTGAAGATAAGAAGTAGGAAATTTCCAAGGATGTGTTCCAGGCACAATCATGCTTGAAAGTCAGATCAGTGGGGCTAGGAGGAGGGGTACATGTGTTGGGTATAGTAGCAAATAGAATTTAAGAGAGAAATTACAGGTACATTTCAGAAGACCTTAGCAGTCTTAACAGAAGTTTAGACTTCATACAGTGTATAATAAGGAATCACTTAAAGTTTGGAGTTAAAGAATGACACAGAATATGGTAGTGCTGTGCCAGGATGGATTGAAAGGAACAAAACCTAGGATGTGGGGAAGGCTAACTATGTTGTGTGCGAAAGTGGAATATGAATTAGACACGGATGGCACCTGGGAGAAAAGAGAAAGCATGGATTTTTTAGATTCTTTAAAGGAAGAATGATAAAGATTTGGAAACTGATGTAAGAGAAATGGCAAAAAGAGACAAAATAAGTTTTATGACTAGGTGATTGGGAGACTGCTAATGAGAATGTGGGAGGCAAGGCCAGTTTTCAGGAGAAGATGATAAACTTGGTTGAGTTTATGGTGACCAGAAGACTTTTGAATAAAGACAGGGGCCTGTTATTACCAGGTGATGACTCCTGGAGCAGTTTATAGAGTGATGAGACAGCTACGTGGAAATGTGCAATAATTTGTTGGAGACATGCAACTAAAGACTAGGCTTAGAGTTAACAGAATGGGGAGTCATAAAATTTATGAAGAAATGTGCTTGAATCTGTGTGTGACTATAAACATAACTCATTTTTGGTAAGCCATAGGTGAAAATTTTCTCTCCTGACTCCAGTCCTGCCTCCTATATAACCTATATAAGTTGTGGAGTGAGAGTTTAGTATCTCTAAAAGAATAAGGCTGCTAATTCACACAAAAGTCCTTAGAGGTTCTTGGCCAACAGATGAGGCAGGATGACATCATTGTATATCTCTGTTGTGAAAAAGAATCTTCATTTAGGAGGAGATTTTTTAGATGGGAGACTTGTTTCAGTTTTTAAAGAAAAATTGCTTCAGGCTCTTCCACAGGGGGCTGCTTCCAGGAAGTCCAGAGAAGAGTCTCACTTCTCTAAGAACCAAGTCAGAAGCAAACCACATGAACCTAACTAAGCCTTGGTGCCTCTGTTCAGTGAAATATGAAACTTGTGTGAATATAATGTTTAACCAATGGGAGACTTTGTTCTTTGCTCCTTTAGTTGGGAAGGACCAATGTAGAATTATCATGGCCAAGTAAGGAGACATAAACTATGTTTTTTTTGGTAAGTAGAAGTTTAAAATTTTTTTTTTTGCTTTGCTTCACTTGGTATTGACTGATTTATTCACATTTGCAAATGAAATGGACAATATTTTGGTAAAAGAAATATAATATAAGGAGGTAGCATGGCATAGTAGATAGAGAGCTAACTTGGAATCAGGGATACCTGGTTTCAAATTCTACCTGTGACAGACTCTCTGTGCAACCCTGGTCAAGTTGCTCTGTGTTCTTGTCAACTCTTAAAACTGCAAAACTGCTGACCTATATTTAAGTTTCCTCATCCAGGAAATTCCCTGTAATAATACCAATTTGTATATGTTCCTACATGCAGGATAATTAGCATTTACCATTTATCAGGCTTATGTTTTAAGAGTAGAGAGAGGCCTTTCCCCACGTACATCTTGAATCTCTTGTGCCATGTGCTGGTTGAAGAGCTATGGTCTATACCAGTGGTGTCAAACTAAAATAGAAATGGAGGACCACTAATCTGTACTTAGATACCTGTGGGCCTCATGTTAACTTATTTTTAAAATCTAATATTGATGTTTTATTTTGTATTTTGTTAAGTAGTTCCTAGTCATATTTTAATCTGGTTTAGCTGCACTTGGGAGTTGTGGGCCATGTGTTTGACACTACTTGTTTACACTGTATATCAAGGAAGAGTGTTCTGTTTTTTGAGGAAAGCCCTAATTAAAAAATCATGGGTGGAAATATTGGAGTCTTTAACGATTCCTTTCCTAATCCAGTCACAGCCTCAATAAAGTCCACGGTTGTGTTTTGTTTTTTGACCCCAGTCATATAGAGGCCCCTACCCACAAGCAATTAAATGAAAGCATTATTAAGCACTTAAGTTGATTTTAAGAGCCTTCTACGATCCGTATTAGGGCAGCTAGTGGTGTAATGGATAGAGCACCAGGCCTCTGGAGTCAGGAAGACCAGAGTTCAAATCTGACCTCAGACACTTAGCTGTGTGACCCTGGATAAATCACTTAACCCTGTTTGCCTCAGTTTCTTCATCTGTAAAATAAGTTGGAGAAGGAAATGGGAAACCACTCCAGTATCTTTGATCAGAAACTCCCAAAAGAGGTTATGAAGAGTCAGGCCCAACTAAATAACAACACCATGAACTTTATTTGGCACCAATAACTTCTGAAATATTTCTCACCTTTGTAAATGCATTTCCTTAACCTCGGGTGCTTTGTTTAATTATCTAGGAC